AATGGCGAGTCGCAGGCAACCTGGCGATGGAATTCGGAGCCGAAATCTCCGGCAGAGGCGAAGGGAAAACTCGAACGAGCTGTAGATATTTCTGTTAACAAAGCTTGTGAATGTTTATGGAACTTTAGCGTGATTCACGTGCCTTGGATTTATGAAGTCCTCCTTTTCCCCCTTTGCCCCATCTTAAACTGTGAAGCGGATTAATTGCGGAAGTTGTGGCAGTCCAGTCCTGCTGCTTAGGGGCAGTTTCCTAAAACAGTCCCGACACTCGTTACGGGGGCCATTATCCTGTTTTATAATCAATTTAAATGGCCACCAGCGTCACTTCCAGGTGGCCGCTGACTTCTCCTCCTGCATTGGAAGGCAGGCTTCCTGACAACGACAACAACTTGCATTTATACAGCATAAGGGAGGAGGTTGAAGTTAGGCGCGGTCGAAGAGGAAGGTCTTAAGGAGGGATTTAAAGAGAAAAAGAGAGCAGGAGCGAGGCAGAGGGACGGAGACGGGGAGTTCCAGAGGTTTGACAGAAAGAGCTATAACACTTAAAACAGGGTCAGACTCCCAACTGCAATGCAATTGCATTTTATATATAGCGACTTTGCTGTTGAGTCGGAATGAACGTGCGTGAATGTTTACGGATTGCCACACTGAGATTGTTTACAGGGTTCCTGGGTCGATGGGCACCAAAGTAACCGAGAAAATGGTTAATACAGGGCATGGTTGGGTCTGGACGTGGGCGATAGTAATGGATTAGCTCACGTGCCTACGCTGACCGTTTTTACCTCCAAAAAAATGACTATCGAATGCTTTTACTGTATATGTGTGAATATATGTGTGCGGGCGCGCGTGTGATTACAAATTCGGTGCTCTGGTTTGAAATCAGCGGGAACCTCAGAGAAATAAAATGTGCAATCGATGTTGATAAATATTGAATCGTGCATTATTTATTCCGTCTCCGTAACCGAGTCTCTCTGGATTCCTGCAGCTCAACGGTTCGAGCACTCGCCTCGCAAGAGAGAGGACCCGGGTGCGATTCCCGGGCGGGGCGAAACTTTAGGGAAATTTCCTTACTTCACACGTCTCCGTTTACCTACAGTAGGTAGGAACCCGGTTGTTCGTCGATTTGGGGATTGCTTTCTCAGGGTAATAATCCCTCGTATAACATTACGGCCGATCTGTACCCCTCCCTTGGTCTGTATCCCTTGACGCCCTGACCTGATAAACATCTGTCCACTTCAGTCCTGAAAATTTGAATGGATCCGGTCATAGTCTTCGGGGGAACTGTCGGCCAAGACATGGCAGAGGGCGAGAAATTGGACTGGAATCTACAAGCAGCTATTGACAAGCCAAGCGAGTGACGGTTGATCAGTGGCCCATTGATGGGTTTGGTTCCCGGGCGGGTCAGGTCAGGGCAAAACTTTTGGCAAGTTTCCTTTCTGCGCCCACACACACACCCACACACACACACACCCACACACACACCCACACACACCCACACACACCCACACACACACACACACACACACACCCACACACACACACACACGCCTCTGTTTACACGGCAGTAGGTAGGAACCCGGTCGTTAGTCGATTGACGGATCGCCTTTCCAGGGGGTAATAATTCCTTCAAAACAATAATAAATTGGTCACTCCGCAGCGGCTGTCTGTGGGGACGTCGCCGGGCGCGGTCGGCCGGCGCGTTTCGCCTACAAGGTACACAGTCACTACACTTTACGGTGTATTCCGTGAAGCGCTTTGAGAGGTCTCGAAGACGTGATCAGGAGACCGTATCGAACGCGAGGATCGTTATTATTATTATTATTATTATTAATTCTGTTGTTCAATGAATGATTTGGGACTGTGGGAAAATCTGACAATTGATGGATGAGGTCAGTCTGAGTGACAGGTCAACAGCGCGGGTGGCCCCGCCCACACCGGCCTGATTGATAGTCGCCCCGACCAATTGGAAGCCTCCTGCTTGGTCCGCCCCTCTGACTGACAGCCGCACTGACCAATGAGAGCCAGCTCAGGCTGGTTCCCAGCTCCCACCTCCCAGCCTGACTGACAGCCTCAGTGACCAATGGAAGCCAGCCCACGCTGCTCCCGCCTTCCCGTCCTGACTGACAGCCTCAGTGACCAATGGGAGACAGCTCACGCTTCTTACTCCTCCCTCGTCTGACTGATAGCCTCAGTGACCAATGGGAGTCAGCCCACGCTGCTCCCGCCTTCCAATCCTGACTGACAGTCTCAGTGACCAATGGACGCCAGCTCTCGGGACTCCCGCCTCCCCGGCCCGACTGACAGCCCCGGCGACCAATGAGAGAGCTCGATAGTGAAGCCGCCCCGGTGCTCGGTCAATGAGGGGCGCGGTGCCGGCTGACCGACGGCCGCGCGGACCAATGGCCGGGCGGGGGCGGGCCGGCGGGCGACCAATGGCGGGCGGTGAGGGCGGCGAGCGGGGTATATAAAATGGCGGGAACATGACGGGCTTTCTTTCGCAAGATGGCCGAGTGCATGGAGGTAGGGTCGGGGCCGCGAGGGAGCGGGGCCGCGTGGAGGAGGCTCCCGGTGAGGGAGAGAGGGGCGGGAGCCCGAGCCGCCGGGGAGGGGGAGGGGGTGGGGTGGGAGCGCGGCCGGGGGTCGGTCTCCCGGGGGTGCGGTGGGGGTGTGGGGGGTGGAGAGCGTTGAGAGGCCGCCTAGGCCCAGCACACGAGGGTGAAGCCTCGGCCTCGCGTAGCTGACTCACCCGCCATCTCCTCGCTGCAGCTTCCCCCCCCCCCCCTTCCCTCGCTCGTTCACTCCACCGCTCCCGCCCCCCCCCCATCACCACCACCCTCAAAGGAGGGGCTCTTCTATACCCCCCCCTCCTTTAAGGTGATGGAGGGGGGGGGGGGGATATTCCTCGTCTCTCTTATTCTCCCACACCCCCACCTCACACACCCCCCCCAAAAAAAAAAATCTTTGTATAATCCCAACGCCCCCACCCCACCCATACGCCAACAAAAGCTGTAGTCCCTTCCCCCCCCCCCCCAATAATCTTTGTAGGGTTCCTACCCCCTCTCCCCACATGAAGCAAAACTTGTCCCCCCCCCCCCACCACCACTACCTCTCCCACCCCCCCAAAAAAAAAAATACTTAAGCAGCACCTTGCGGTAGCTCCAAAATCTATCCCCCCCCCCCCACCATACGCAAAAAAAAACTTTCTGTGGTTCCTAAATTCGCTCGCCCCCCCACGCGCGCGCGCACACACACACGCAAAAGATCTCTTCCCCCCCCCCCCATAAAAAATAATTTATGTGTGAGCCACTCAAAATCCCCACATCCAACCCCCAAACTATGGTTCGCTAATATCCCTCTCCTCTCCCCCCCCCCACATACACGCACAATAGAGACTACCTTGTGGTACCCCCAAAACTCGGTTCTAACCCCCTCCCTCAAAAAATCTTACTACGGTTCTTAAAATTCCTCTCCCCCCCCCCCCAAAAAAAAAACGCAGCTCCCCTGTGGTACCCCCAAACCTGCACTCCATTCTCTCCCCCCACCCAAATCCTTGTATGATTCCCGAAAACCCTCTCCCCCCCCCTCCGACACACATACACACACAAAAAAAACTGGTTCTCACCCCCCCCCCAAAAAAAAATCTCTGTATGGTTCCTAAAACCTCCGCCGCCCCCCCACCCGCAAAAAGAAGCCCCTTGTGGAACTCCCAAAACTATTCAAACCCCCCCCCAAAAAGAATCTTTGTGTTGTCCCTAAACCCCGCCCCCCCCCCAAAGAAACCTGTTATGGTTATCTCCCCCCAAAAAAAACTCCATTCAATCAATCCTCTCCTCCCGCCCCCCTCCCCCCCCAAGAAAAAAATGCCCCCCCACCCCCTCCGAAACGAATGAATCCCTGTAGCCCGGACCGTGAGGATTGATGGTAGAGGATGAATTAAAATGATGGATAGGCAGACAGGGTTGTAGGTACAGTGAGCGAGTGACCTCTTTCTCTGCCTTGAGGGGGGGGGGGTGGGGGCTTTCTCTGCCTTGAGGGGGGGGGGGGTCTTTCTCTGCCGGGGGGGGGTTAGGGGCTGCTTTGAGTTAACGGGAGGGAACTGAATTTACTGGATTCTGCGATCTGTTGCCTCAGCGTCTCATTTGTTGTGGTCTTTCTCTCTCACTTCCCCCCCCCCCCCCCCGCCCCCCACCACCGCCACACTCACCCGCCCCCCCCCCCCCCACCCACCACCGTAGTACGTGCTGTGCCACTTTGTGCCGCAATGTGCAGGTAGTTAAGTAAGTGTGGGTGGGTGGAAATTCTTTGAGGTGAGCTGTGTGAAAATTCCGCTAACTCCCCCCCCCCCCCCCCCCCCCCGGTGCTTATTTTGTCGCGCGCGCGCGTGTGTGTGTGTTGGGTTGTACGCGGGTCTGAGCTTAGTTGTCTCCTGTGGGCATAACAACTTGGATTCATACAGCGCCCTTCATGCCTGGACCTCGACGATCCTTTCTATCCTGTCCGTGACATGACCCGCTCTGCCTTCCCCACCTCCGCAGCATCGCCCGGCTCCGCCATCGTCGGCGCCGGCCGCCGGAGCCCTCGTGCGCGCGCTCGCAACGGCCGGGCTTGGCTGTGCGAGCTCCCCGACTTGTCGGCCTCCCCAACCCCTACCTCCGTAGGCTGCGGGTGGTCCAGAACTCTGCGGCCCGTGTCCTCTGCCGCGCCAGGCTCCGTGACCCTGTCGCCCCCCCATCCTCGCCCGACTCCCGCTGGCTTCCCGTCACACAGAGGCTGCAAGAGCCTGGTCCTCGCCTACAAAAGGCCTCCATAGCCTTGCTCTTCCCCCTACCTCTGCGACCTACTAACCCCCTACCAACCTGCCCGCTCCGCTCAGCGGGCTCCGGCCTCCTTCACGGTCCCCCTCCCCCCACCATCGGCGGGCGACCGTCAATCGCTTTGCCCCCACCCACTGGAACTTCATCCCGCAGTCCCTCCACTTCACCCCCACTCTTGCCTCTTTCAAGACCTATCTCAAGAATCCTCCTCTTTGACCGTGCCTTTGATCACCCTCCTGCCCTCTACCTTCCCCGATCCCGGCCCCCAGCTCGGGTCCGAAACACTTATTGTCTTGGAACATCCTCAAGACGTGAAAGGTGCTATACAAATGTAATTTTGTTGTTGTTCATAGGAAACATAGGAATTGCTAGACCAAAAAAGACCAGGTCCATCTAGTTTACCTTCTATACAATAACGATAGCAATTAATTCTTTATGGGTTAGTCTACCAGCAGAGTGGAAAGCTTTAGGAACCTTAGATCCAAAGTTGCCTCGTTCTTCCAAGCAATACTACACTTGTCATGTCTCAAATTACTCATGTAATGTATTCCCAAAATATCACACAGGGTGGTGTCTCTGAGCGCTGCACAGTGACAGCGGAGAAAAGGGGGGAGGTGACAGGAGGTACGGTCAAAGAGGTACGTTGTCCAAAGAGAAGGATAAAGGGGGGGCGGGTGGGGGTCGAGGTGCAAGGAGTTCCAGGGGGGAAGTGGAGAGAAAACCTAAACTAATGGGGAAATGGGCAATATAATAAAAATCCGGTTGACTCTGCTGTGTTTTAGGCTCTTCTCATTGTGGTTGAGTTCCGATCACCCGAGTTCTGCAGTGGGGCACCACATTGTACCAGTGCTTGTTGCTTATTTTAAATTGAAGGCAGTGGGAGGCGCGAGTTGTCAAGTCTCTTCTCTGAGGAGTGTTCAGTTGGACCAGATCTGCAGTCTGATGACCAAAAGGGATGGGCTCATGTTGGGCCGAATGGCCTGGTTCAGTGCTGTGTAGTCCATGGCTCGCCAGGTCTGCATCGGTGCCATCAAAGTCACTTTGCAATGGCTGTACGCTTGTGACTCGGTTGCATGTGTTGTGTCGAAGACATTGGTCTCCCTGTAAAAGCCTCTGATTGATTGAAATAATAATAATTCTTGCATTTGATATAGCGCCATGTCACATCTTCGAGGCGTCTCAAAGCGCTTCACAGCATATATTGTAAAGTGAATTGACTGTATGATTTTGTGGGTCAAAATGCTCGTGGAAAGCAATTGGTACCAATGTGCTCTGATGATTGCTGTTGCAGGTGACTTCCATATCGGGTGCAGGTGGTGAGAGCACAGCCTCAATTAAGGACGGTGCGGAGGAGATGACGTCAAAGGATTACTACTTTGACTCTTACGCACACTTTGGCATTCACGAGGTGGGTTGCGGACGCATTGCTTGAGGAATAACGGGCGTGGTGGGCGTTTACCGTGATATGTAAGAGCGAGTGTTAATTCTGCCCCTCCCTCCCTCTCGTGCGATAGGAAATGTTGAAGGATGAAGTCCGCACTTTGACCTACAGAAACTCCATGTACCACAACAAGCACCTCTTCAAGGACAAGATTGTGTTGGATGTTGGCAGTGGAACGGGAATCCTCTGCATGTTTGCAGCGAAGGCCGGTGCCAAGAAAGTCATTGGGGTAAGGGCTTCGCTCTGTTTGGCACATTCACCGAAGTCAATTTTGTCAACGCACATCCTAGTGATTAAGCGCTAAACACTGAGCCATATGGATGAAGGTATCTCTAATGGCATTTAGAGATGAGCTCCGGTCTGCCTGTTCAAGTGGATGTTAAAGGTCTCACGGCACTGTTTTGAAGAGAGAAGGGAGTTTCTTTCTCTCTCTGTCCTGGCCAACAATCCCCCAAATAAAATTGGTCACTCGCTCCATGACTGCCGCATTTCGCCCACAAAATGCACAGTCAGTCCATTTTACAGTACGGACTACAGTGCTTTTGAGACGTCTGAATGATGTGATAAGGCGCTATATCAATTGCAAAGATTATTATTGTAGCATCTCACCAGAGCTACTGTCAGATGTTGAAAGCGTAATCTCAATTTTCTGCAATAATCCGCTTAATAATAATAATAATAATCCTTGCATTTGATTTCTCGACGTCTTCTCAACGTCCCAAAGCGCTTCACAGAATATACTGTAAAGTGAACTGACCGTATATTTGTGGGCGAACGCAGCAGCCAATTGCGCACAGCGGCGTCTGTCCCACAAACAGTCGTGGATTGAAAATGACCAATTCATTATTTTCTTTGGAGGGATTATTATTAGGCGTGTGCAGTAAAGAAACTTGCCCAAGGTTTCGCCCTGCCGGGAATTGAACTCAGCTCACATTGAGGAAGCCTCAAGCGCTTGTCGTGCAGTGGCAGTGGCTTTTTTTTTTTAATTCACCTTGTTTTAATAATAATAATAATAATCCTTGCATTTGATATAAACTCTGCTCAGGGGAATCTGCTGACTTCTCTTTGCTAGTGAGTGTTTTGTCTTTACCTTTGTTTTCAGATCGAATGCTCAAACATCTCTGAGTACGCTGAGAAGATAATTAAAGCCAATCACCTTGATCACGGTGAGCTTTCGTTCCTTTGTGTTCTTTTCGGGAAGGTTTTGCTCCTATCACTGGGGGGTGGGGTGGGGCGTGGAGTCATCCTTATCTTGAAGTTCTTATTTATTTTGCCCCCTTTCTCCCATCTCCCAGAGATCTGGACTGCTTTCTAGGGTAGTTCAACAGCCTCCCCAGAAAGAAGTTACAAATCGAACAGGTGCCCTGTGGTACCTTTCATTTACTGTTTGCTAAGAGGTAATGTTATCTCAAAATCTATCCAGATTTCAACCAATTGTCTTGGCCTACCCAACATCCTGATCAGTCGGTTATCGGCTCTCGGTGGAGCTTTGCTGTGCGCAGGTTTGACTGTGACAGTCACTCCGCTTGACATCAGTTGCCCCTGAAGCACTTTGTGGGGGTGATTGCAATGAATGAGTCTGGTCTGACTCTGCGCAGGGCAGAAAATTGAGCCTGTCATCTGCTCGGCTGTGCTGCCTAAGTTGTCCTTAGTCTTAACTACCAAGGATAGAATCAGAAGTGGTTGAAAACACACAGCAGGTCAGGTAGTATGTATTGAGAGAGGAAACACTTCAGGCCAATGACGTTTCCTCTCCATAGATGCTGCCTGACCTGCTGAGTGAGAATTCTGGGGGTTTTTTTTGGTATCAGATTTCCAGCATCTGCAGTGTTTTGCCTATTGTATAAGCTCAGGGATGATTGATGTGTTAATTTTCTATATATTGGAAAAAGAATCAGTTACAGATCTTGTGAATAACGGTCTGATGTGAAGTGTACTTTTGTTTCTGCTATATGTGACTACAGCTGGGTAAACCTTCACTTACTCGTAAGAGAAAGTCACCAGTCAAATGGAACAGATGGGTGGAAGGGAGCCCTGCCTCTCCTGTCAACCACGTGCTGTAAGAGTTGTATTTGATGCCCGTTTCCCCTCCTGCAGTTATCAGCATCATCAAAGGCAAGGTTGAGGAGGTGGAACTGCCGGTGGAGAAGGTGGACATTATCATCAGCGAGTGGATGGGCTACTGCCTCTTCTACGAATCCATGTTGAACACTGTCATCTACGCCAGAGATAAATGGCTGGTACGTGCGTTCGATGGCCGGCATGGGTTATCGTGGTTAGCGCGCTCGCCTCGCAAGCAAGCGAGAGGTCCTGGGTTCCATTCCCGGGCAAAGTGAAACCCTAGGCAAGTTTCCTGATTCCACACACCACACACACACTCTGTATATCGAGAGTAACCCGGTTGTCAAGATGATTGGCGGAATGCTTTCCTGGAATAAAATAATAATAATAAATTAATAATAATATTTGGTCACTTCAATCCACGACTTGTTTGTGGGACACTGCAGTGTGCACAAAACACACAGTCAGGAGTCAATGATATGATATGCACTATCCTTGTTAGACCTTCGATGTGTTTTGGGGGAAGGAGGAGGAGAGAGAAACAGGCTGGGAAAGGCCACGTTCTCTCCACCCACCCCCATCCCTTCCCAATACACACACACACACACGTGCACGCGCGCTCTTGGTGCTGGTTTTCCTGATCACTGTGTGTGTTTGTCTAGCACCCGGATGGCCTGATTTTCCCTGACCGAGCTGCTCTGTACGTCACCGCAATCGAAGACCGCCAGTACAAAGACTACAAGATTCACTGTGAGTTTGCACAACACGACCCCTCCCTGCCTGAAGCAGAGAGAACCTGCCAGTTGAGTTCTGCTTGCGGGAACGCACTTGTTGGGAACAGATGAGGAATGTGGGAGGAGGCCATTCAGCCCCTCGAGCCTTTCTATTAGATCGTGTCTTGCAGTTAATTAAGCCGACTAGCCCTCTGTACCTGTGGGAGGCTGGTGTGCAATGGCTGCATACAGCAAGTCACTGGTTGTGTAACGCGCTTTGTCTTTCCCGTGCAAAGTGCTCCAAGGGACCTCTGAGACATTGAGCGCTCGCTGGGGGAGGCTGTGAATATCACCATGGTGGGTGGGGTGGGGGGGGAAGAGGAGCGATGCGCACAGATGGGGAGAGACAGACACACGGTGGGTGGGGGAGACACGCATACGCGCACAGGGATGGAGAGAGACATGCACACGTGTGTAGAAATGATGATAAATCGGCTACTCAATCCATGGCTTTGTGGGACACTGCTGTGCGTAATTGGCTGTCGCATTTTTCTTGACAAAACATAGTCTATTCACTTTGGAGTGGAGAGACTATATAAGATATATATATATATATATATATATACACACACCCGGCTCCACGGCGTGAAGGGCGCTGTGTAAATTGTTTTTTGTTGTTGTAACCTGTTCCTTGTTGTGCCTTCGTCTCCAGGGTGGGAGAATGTGTATGGGTTCGATATGTCCTGCATCAAAGACGTTGCCATCAAGGAGCCTCTGGTGGATGTTGTTGACCCCAAGCAGCTGGTGACAAATGCATGTCTCATCAAGGTGAGGCCCTATTGTAAGGTTTATGCCAATAATAATATAATCCTTACGTTTGATACAGTGCTTTTCAACGTCTCAAAGCGCTTCACAGGATAGACTGTAAAGTGAATTGACTGTATATTTGTGGGCGAAATGCGGCAGCCAATTGCGCACAGCAGTGTCCCACAAACAGTCGTGGATTGAAGCGACCAATTTATTTTTTTCTTGGGGGATTATTATCAGGCGTGTGGAGTAAGGAAACTTGCCCACGATTTCACCCGGTCAGGAATCGAACACAGTCCCCATAGAGTAAGTGGTTGGACTGATGCAAGCTTTGCTATCATTCTCTCTCCTCTCCCTCAGGAGGTGGATATCTACACAGTGAAAGTTGACGACCTGTCCTTCACCTCACCGTTCTGCCTGCAAGTCACCCGCAACGACTATATCCACGCCCTGGTAGCTTACTTCAACATCGAGTTCACCCGCTGCCACAAGAGGACAGGGTTTTCCACAGGTACGGAGGGTGGTGGGGGTGGAGGGAGAGAACCCCGGAGCCCCTAGGCTGAACTCGGGTGTGGGTGCTATTAGCTGTTCTTGCTAGCAGCTCTGGTCTTTCAGCGCCTTTAGGTGTATACAAATGTCATTTGTCGTCGTTCTGATCTGGCACGGTAATGGGACGTAAGAGGAGGCCATTCAGCCCCTTGAGCCTGTTACACCGTTCTATAAGATCATGTCCAATTACCACCTCTCCCACCAACAATCTATCCTCCTCAGTCCTGAAGACGTGAATGGATCCAGCCATAATCCTTCTGTGGGAGGGAGGGAGTTGCAGATTCCAGATACCTTTCCCTAACCAACATCCATCCACCTCAGTCTTGGAAAATTTCAATGGCCTAACCCTAACCTGTCAAGATTGTGCCCCCACTTTGTTCTGGATTCCCCCACCAGAGGGAATGTGTTGTTTTATCATTTAAAATGCCTCAATGAGATCGCGCCCTCAACCGTCTTAACCTCAATGCAAACGGTGTGTGCTCTGTTGTTACAGCCCCCGACGCCCCCTACACACACTGGAAGCAGACGGTGTTCTACATGGAGGACTATCTCACTGTCAAGCGAGGCGAAGAGATCTTCGGGACAATCTCCATGAAGCCGAATGCCAAAAACACCGTGAGTTTCCTCATGTCGATGTCGACGATAGTAACGTGGTTCCATTTGATCCTGCGCCTTTCGCAACGCGTCGCAGGATTATACCGTAAAGTGCAGTGACTGTGTGTTGTGGAAGCCCCCAAATCCCTGACGGTCCAAAGCCTTGGGGCGCCCTCCCAATGTGAAAGGCACTCGTAAATAATAATTATCCACGTGTTTAATATAGCGCTTTTAATCACGTCTTCAAGACATCTCAAAGCGCTCACACTGTAAAGTGAATTGACTGTTGAGTTGCGTTCTATTAAACGCCTTTTTTTAACCCCTCTCTCTCTCTCTCTCTCTCTCCCTCAGCGAGACCTAGACTTCACCGTGGATGTAGAATTTAAAGGCCAGCTGTGCGAGTTGTCCTGCTCCACGGATTACAAGATGCGTTAGGTTCTGTCTCCTCGCCCCCACCAACCCCCCCCCACCCCACCACCTTTCCCCATCCCCCTGCCTGCTCGCCAGCCACACCGTCCACACATATCGCTCCACAGGCTCCATCGAGGGTGGCTGAAAGTAGTGCTGTATTCCGTAGATTTAAAATGCTCCTCATTTAAACATTAGGGCCTGGCTGGCGGGCGGTTTCGCTGTGTGTGTGCGTGCGTGCGGGAGTGGGGGTGGTGGGGGGGAGGCTGGAAGGAGAGGGGGAGTGGGTGGTTTGCCGGGAGGGGGAGACAGAGAACCGACGTATACATCAGCGACCACGTGGGAAACCGCTTTCTCTTTTAAGGAAAAAAAACATAACGGATCTCGGATTCAAAGCTCAACTCCGTGGGAGGGAATGATTTTTTTTTGAAAAAAAGTCTCGGTCTCGAGAGCGATTTTCTTTTCTCTCCCCCGGCCCCAACCCCGAAGGAAAGCTCTTTAGGGATTGTGAGACTGGACGTCGCTGTTTGGAGTGACAAATTTTTGGGGGGTGGTGGGTGGGTGGGGGTGAGAGAGAGAGAGCGATTACGCAGAGTTGGCTTTACAGAGGGGATTTCAAACTTATTTGTTCATTTTTTAAAATAACTTATTATTTTGGGGGTTGCTGCACAAACTGCTCGTCGGGACTGAACGTGAGGCAACGACTGCTGCTAGCGGGACCCCGGGTGGGGGGGGCTTGTCTGTCAGAACTGTAGCTTTGCGTTCTTTTCTTTCCCCTCTCCCCCCCTCGGTCCACCTTCCCCAATTTGAGGGTGACTGGTTTGATGTCACCATCATGAGGAGAGAGAGAGAAAGAGTCAAACTGCTATCAGAGTGGAAGCCATTCATAAACTGGTGTGACTGTTTCTTACGAGTGGGGGAAGAGGCGAGTGGGGATGAGAGAGAGAGAACTGCAGTCGTTCCCTCTCCCCCCCCCCCCACTAAACACTAAAATATCCAGGCTGGCCAAAGACCAGGTGAAATTTGATCTCCACCTTCTCTCTCTCCCCCTCTGCCCCCCCCCCCACCCACCCCCCTCAGAAGCAAGCAACCAGCCCCTGGTACCCTGCCATTTCTTCTCCCCCCCCCCACACCCCCCCCCACACACACACACACACACACATTAAGAAAAAGTGTTCACTCCTTCCATAGTTGTTTACTTGGTGAGTGATTTGCAAAATATTCAGTTGAGTCGAGAGAGAAAAGAGTCGTCAGTGCACTGAGTTTTGCTGCTTAACCTTACTGTATGTAGTTGGTGTTTATGTTCTTCTTTTTCTGTCTCTCTCTTCCCCCGCCCCCACTCCCCGGGGGTCTGTGCGTCAGCGCCATGCGGGGAAAACCTCCGGCCATCGCTCGCTCGTTCGTTTGACTGGAATTCCCTCGGGGCAGTGGGAGTCCTGATCTATGTGTGTGTGTGTGTGTGTCTCTCATACAGCAGCGATAGATGACGGTAGAAATAGCAGCCTGCGCTGGTCAACACAGTGAGGCCTTGTGTAAATAAATAGGTGACGTTGGGTTTCTTTGTGTGTGTCCTCCCCTTCTCCTCTCCCATTTCCCCAGCCCCTCAAAAAAAAAAGAAGCACATCTGCTCCCTGTACCTGTGTAGCAGCAATTGGGGCCGGTGTTGCGTGCGTTTGTGTTGCTGCTGCTTTGCACGAACTCTGGTCTGACGTATCTGGAACCAGGTCCCATCGGAACGCAATTGTGAAGGGTTCGCACATAAGACTGTGAAGCGACGCGATCCTGGTGACCAGCCCCCCCTCTCTCTTCCCCCCCCCCCCACCCACATTTGCAGCTTGCTGTTAGGACTATCCCTCCCCCCTCTCCCCCCCCCCCCCCCACATTGTGTGAGTGTAGACTGACTGACTGACCTGCTCTCTGTGTTACTGTCAGCGAACTAACTTAACTCCTTTTTAAACCAGATGAAATTAAATGTGAAGCAAAGCGACTTGAGTTTTTTTCTTCCAGCCCCCCACCCTTTATCAGCTAGTGGGATGTTCTGCTACTCCCCCCCACCCCCCCCTCTTTAAACCCATGGACTGTTTCACTGTGCTGTGGTACAGGGCAATGGCTTGTTTGGTGAGGAGATGGCGTGTCCTATATTGTACGCCGCCGCGAAGACTGCATCCTGCACGGCCGGGCTTCCGAACAAGTATTGGCTCTTCCTTGCCGTGTGTGTGTTTTGGAGATGGGAACGGGGGATTAATAAACTGTTGCTGGAGTCCCTCCATTGCAGACGCACCAGGCTGAGCGGACCGGCGGAGAGCTTGGAGCGGTTACCGAGCATCGTGTTGCGTGTGCGTTGCTGCCTTCAAACCCACACGCTTTCTCTGGCGTGTCTTGGAACCCACGGCGGGTTCCAGCGAGGATGGTCTTGGGTTGGATTTGGGGGGGTGGGCAGCAACGCAACTGTTTAGCCCTTAAATGTTTTAAGGGCCACTTCTGTTTCTGAAGCTTTGTCACATCTTTCTTGACTTGTGTTTTTTTTTAAAAAAAAAAGAGTGTTTGATGCGTGTTGCGAATCCCATGTTATTTTTAAATCCATAAAATACTGACCGTCTGAAAACATTGTGACTTGTGTAGTAAATTGTTTTTTTTATAATATGGTGACATTCATTGAGGAAAAACAAATAAAAGTTTTGACTTTACATCCCCCCCCCCGTCGCTGGTGCTTTACTAACTAAGGCGGGACCGCGTGGTGGTACCAGTACGATGGCGGTAATAAACCTTAGCGTCCGGCAAACAGTCGTGGATTGAGTGTGTTTTTCGCTTCGGTTGGGGGTGGATGGGGAGTGGGATAAGAGGGTGAAGGGAAATCTTTTTTTAAACCTTAACCGGTGGTGCCAAGAAAATAATCCCTGCGCTTGACAATAACCTTTGCCTTTTGTGTCAGGTAGTCTCGAAGCTCTTCACAGGATAGACGGTGAGACGCGATGACTGCTTTTCGTGGCAGACAATTTTGCACAGCATCAAACGGCCCGTGAGGTATGATTTTATCCCCGGGGAGGGTGGAATCCCTCCTCTCTCCAAATAGCACCGCAGAAACTTAAACCATCAGGCTGATTAGCGGATTATTTTTTTTTAGAAGGGGCGAGACGAGATAGTGTTAGCGTTCAGGGGGACTTCGGGTGTCCCTGTTACACCAGTCACAGAAAGTTAGTTTGCAGGTGCAGCAAGCGATTAGGAAGGCGAACGGTGTGTTGGCGCTCGTTGCAAAAGAGTTAGAATATAAGAGTAGGGAAGTCTTACTGCAAGAGCACAGGGCTCTGGTGAGACCGCACCCAGAGTATTGTGCGCAGTTTTTGTCTCCTTATTTAAGAAAGGAGGTACTCGCTTTGGGAGGGGGTACAGTGTAGATTCACTGGGTTGGTACCTGGGATGAGTTATGAGGATAGATTGAGCAATTTAGACCTATATTCGCTAGAATATAGAGGCATGAGAGGTAATCTTATAGAAACCTATAAGATTATTAAGGGGCACAACAGAATAGTTAGTGGGAGACTTTTCTCCGGTTGGAGAAACTAATACCAGGGGGTCACCGTCTTAAAATTAGGGGTAAGTCCTTTCGCACTGAGTTGAGGAAAAACTTCTTCACTCAGAGGGCAGTGAATGTATGGCATTCTCTGCCCCAAAGGGCTGTCGGTGCTCAGTCCTCGAACATATTCAAGACTGAGATTGATAGATTTCTTGTGGATTAAGGGATATGGGGATAAAGCGAATAGGAGGAGTTAGAACGGATCAGCCATGATCTTATTGAATGGCGGGGCGCAGGCTAGAGGGGCTGAATGGCCTCCTCCTGCTCCTAATTCTTATGTTCTTATGTATCCCACACGATGAATATCGACGACGATCATCCTTGTGCGTGACAACAGCGCCTCATCACGTCATTTGAGACGTCTCAAAGCGCTCCACGGATCACACCGTAAAGCGTAGTGACCGTGCGCTCGGGTTTAACCCCTTCCGAAGTGCGCGCGGGTTGAAAAATGAAACCGGACAAACCGCTGAATAAATAAGTCGACTTATTTATTTGGGGTGTGTGTGGGGGGTGGGGGAACTTCCGAATGATAGAGCCGGGGGGGGGGTGGGGGGAGGAGAGAGAGGAAAGAGGGGGTTCACACCCTAAATGTTACACGACAAGGTCATCAATGTTCACTGCACACGCACGAGCCGAGGTTCTGCGCCGAGCCACGAGGACTCGCTCGAGGGCCTCATTTCTCCAGGGGGGCGTAGTTCAGAAGCTTCTCGATCAGGTCCACGTGAGACAGTAACATGCGACGGCAGCAGTAACGCTTCAGCCCCAGTGCGTCCAGCGCATCGCTGCGGAGACGGGAAAAAAAAAAGGGGGTGCAGCGTGAGCTTCAGGCGAGCTGCCCTCTCTCTCTCCGGACAGGTTGACCGCAGCTCCAACTCCCTTTGCGCCCTGGCACCTCCCTCCCTCCCTCCACCCCTCCCCACAACCCTCTTGCCTATCCCCCGTTCTACCATCGGTATTTTCAGCCGCTAACCGTCCCTCCCCGCCCCCCCCACCCCAAAACTCTCTCCCTTCTGTTCCCCTCCCTCTTCCCCATCTTCAGGTCCGGCCTGAAGGCTCGCCAGCCCCCACACCCTCCCCTCGTTTAACTGCTCACGAAGGAGGGAGGAACACTGCTCTTCCCCCCCCCCACCACCCCTCCGCCGGCTCGATGTCGTGCTCCATCACTGTCAAGCGCTCTGGGGCGCTATCCTGCGTGGGGTGGGGGGCGCTGTTTGTGTGGAGGGGGGTGGTGGTTGGGAGTGGGGAGGATCCGCCGGCCGTTCTAACATTGGCGAAAAACAATCGCTACTCTACAGATTACTTCCCGGAATCATGTTGGCCGGAAACGGGGAGAGGGGGGGAAACGGAGAGAGAGAGAGAGAGAGCACATTCCATCCCAACGATATACCTCTGGGATTTCCATGTGGAATTCTCAGTCTGGTTTGGAGACTCGTCGGCCCCGGTGATGGGCTTCCGCGCGCGTCAGACACTCTCTCTCTCTCTCTCTCTCTCTCACCTAATTCTGCAGAGGAGGTGACCGCCGCGAACGGTGTAACCGGCTGAACCGGCACCGCCCGCTCTCGGGAATTACCGTCGAGGGTGGCGGCTGTGTTAGTTGTGGGAGGGGGTTTGGGGGGGGGGGGGGGGGAAGAGACGGGGCGGCCAATTTCGGCCACAGCGATGTTCGACGTCGAATGGACCCGATTTTTCTCTCTCCTTCAGGAGAGCCGGGACCTCAGCAACGACGACCCCGTTCCCCGGCGGCGGGTCTCGGCCCCTCGGGGGCTCCCGAGCTGAAACTTCCCGACCCAACGACCTTCCGACATCCCAGAGCGCCGCGGAGCCAGCTCCGGCCTTACCCCTCCGTGTACTCGGCCTGCAGCAGCCCCAGGTAGGCCTCCCATTTGTTGCCCACCACCTTCCCGCAGGTGAAGCATCTGACCGGGATGATCATCGCGGCCGCTCTGGAAACGGAGAGAGGGGGAAAAAAAAAAAGAAGAGCCTCAGAACCGCCTGAAACGTAAGTTGAGCCGTGTTCCGATTTACCAATTATCGCTTTCAGTCCCAACTCCGTCCGGGGGGTGGGGGTGGGGTTCGGGGGGGGGGGTGGGGATCGAGGGTTACGGGGGCAAAGGCGGGCAGTTGGGGTCGAGGCACAGAACGGCCACGGTCCGGTCGGATGGTGGGAACGGGCTCGAGGGGCTGAATGGCCTCCTCCTGTTCCCGCTATCCCTTCCTGCTCCGCGATGATGGCTCGAGCCGGTGAGGGAGGGAATGGGGGAGTGGGGTATAAACACCGGGCACCGACTGTCTGGGAATGTCCTCTCTCTCCCCCCACACTCTCCCCCTCTCTCTCTCTCCCCCCACACTCTCCCCCTCTCTCTCTCTCCCCCACACTCTCCCCCTCTCTCTCTCTCCCCCACACTCTCCCCTCTCTCTCTCTCCCCCCACACTCTCCCTCTCTCTCTCTCTCCCCCCACACTCTCCCCCTCTCTCTCACACTCTCCCCCTCTCTCTCCCCCACTCCCCCTCTCTCTTCCCCCCACACTCTCCCTCTCTCTCTCCCCCCACCCCCTCTCTCTCTCTCTCCCCCCACACACTCCCCCTCTCTCTCCCCCCACACTCTCCCCCTCTCTCTCTCCCCCCACACACTCCCCTCTCTCTCTCTCCCCCCACACTCCCCCCTCTCTCTCTCCCCCACACTCCCCCCTCTCTCTCTCCCCCCACACTCCCCCTCTCTCTCCCCCACACTCCCCCTCTCTCTCCCCCCACACTCCCCCTCTCTCACACCCCCTCTCCCCCCACACTCCCCCCCTCTCCCCCACACTCCCCTCTCTCTCTCCCCCACTCCCCCCCTCTCTCTCCCCCCACTCTCTCTCTCTCCCCCCACTCTCTCTCCCCCCACTCTCTCCCTCCTCTCTCCCCCCCACTCTCCCCCTCTCTCTCCCCCACTCTCCCCTCTCTCCCCCCCCTCCCTCTCTCTCCCCCCACACTCCCCCCTCTCTCCCCCACCTCTCTCTCTCCCCCCACTCTCTCTCTCCCCCCACTCTCTCCCCTCCCTCTCCCCCCACACTCCCCCCTCTCTCTCCCCCCACACACTCTCCCTCTCTCTCTCCCCACACTCTCCCCCTCTCTCTGCCCCCCACACTCTCCCCCTCTCTCTCTCTCCATCTCTCGGGCGGTGACTCAGGGCCGCGGCGGCAGTTTGTGGGGGAAGTCTCGGGGGCGCCATCGACGACGTGACGCGGGTCAAGACATGATGGTGGGGGTGTGGGGAGGGGTGTGGGGGAGGGGTGTGGGGCTCAAACCCAGAGACCCCCCAACCCCCACCATCACCCCTCACCCCCCCCCCCCCCAGAGGAAGGGAGAAGCCCCCCCCCCCCACACAGACAGACCCCCCCGTTAGGCCCCAAAAGCCCCGGAACTCGCGCTCACCCTCCGACCTCTTCCTCCACACGTGACACTCCCCCCAACACCACACACACTGCGCAGGCGCCGCTCTCCCCCTCCAGTGCGCAGGCGCCGCTCTCCCCTTCCAGTGCGCAGGCGCCGCTCTCCCCTTCCAGTGCGCAGGCGCCGCTCACCGCCGCGCAGTGACGCTCCTCCACCACCGGAGGGCGTCAGTGATACACACAGTGATACACTGTGTCATAGAGGGAGTGATGGAGAGAGTGATGGAGAGAGAGGGAGTGATACAGTGTGTGATGGAGAGAGTGATGGAGAGAGAGGGAGTGATAGAGAGAGAGGGAGTGATACAGTGTGTGATAGAGGGAGTGATAGAGAGAGTGATAGAGAGTGATGGAGAGAGCGAGAGAGTGACACGGTGTGTGATAGAGAGAGTGATGGGGAGAGAGTGACACAGTGTGTGATAGAGCGAGTGATAGAGAGAGAGAGTGATACAGTGTGTGATAGAGAAAGTGATAGAGAGTGACTCAGTGTGTGATGGAGAGAGTGATGAAGGGGCGACTGAAAGAAATGTACTTTCTAAAAGTTTTTCCCTTTTTTTAAAAAAAACTTTCTCCCCAATAAATGGGTTCGAAATGCAATTTGTGGCCTCCAATCATTTTCAGCCCAAAAAATAAAAAACTTTTTTTTTTTTACTTGAAATAAAACTTAACTTTGACTAAGAAGTGAACAATTTTTTTCCCCCTTTACGCTTTTTTTTTCTTGGTCGGTGGGTGAGGGGGAGGGGGGTGGGGGTGGTGAGTGGGGGTGAGGGGGGAGGGGGGGGTGGGGGTGAGGAGGGGGGGTGGAGGGTGGGGGGAAATTTCATTAAACTTTATTTTTCGAACCATCTAAAGTTTCCAATTCCTACTTTTCTCTCTTTCTCTTTTCCCCCCAAAAAGAAACCCTTTTTTTTTACTCGGTTTCTTTTTCTCTATCTTTATTTTACTCTCTGTCTCTCTCTCTCTCTTTCTCTTTCTCTCTCACCCCTTAATTTTTTTCCCTCTCTTTCCCCCCTCTCTAAACTTTCTCTCTCTCTCTCTCTCTCTACCCCCCGACCCCAAGAAAAACCTTCTTACCGAGCTCTCAACCTTTATTTTTTCCCTCTGTCTGCGTCTCTCTGTCCCCTTCGACCCCCCCACACCCCCCACCACCTTATTTAAACCTTTCCTCGCTCCCTCTAAAGATTATTTCTTGTGAAACTTTTTCTCTCTCTTTATTGAATGCTTTCGGTGATGGCGGTGGGGGCGGTGTTGGCGGGGGAGCGAGTTATGTTATCTTTCCAAAACATTCGCACTCTCTCTCTCTCTCTCTCTCTCTCGTTCTTTCTCTTCCCCTTTAAACCCCCTGTAGGTTTTGTAATGAGCTCTGTGTGTGTGTGTGTGTGCGCGAGTGAGTGAGTGAACGAGCGAGTGAGTGAGTGAGTCAATGAGTGTTTCTCGCTCCCACCCATTTCTGTTTAGCTGTGACCGAAAGCTGTTGTATTGCAGTCTGTTCCCATCGCTCACCGCTATCACTGTTCCAACAGAGAGAGAGCGAGAGAGAGACACACAAACGCACACAGAGACGCAGAGAGAGGAATTGCGGAGAGAGAGAGAGAGAAAGAGGGGAGAGAGAGAGAGAAGAAAAAGATCGCAAACACATCCAACTTTACTCGAGGAAACCCGGGTAAGTCTGTGCCGTTTTTACACAGTCGTTTTTCTCCAAACGCCCCCGAATTGCGGGTTCCGTGATTTCTGTGAGAAAGATGCAGACAGAGCAATTGAGTTGGTGGGCAATGCGCACACGCGAAATGTACACGCGTGTGTGAGTGTGTCTTGCGTGTAGTCTCTACCCTCGTATCACACAGACGTGTCTTTCACCCACTGAACCATTCGACCCGCAGATTTCCCTCCTATTGACACCACGCGTGACTCTGTCCCTCAACCCCCTCCGCCGTTCCCCCCCCGACTTCACATCGCACCTCAAGACCTTCCTCTTCGACCGCGCCTACGCCCCCCCCCCGCACCCCTTTCTCTCTCTCTCTCTCTCTCTCGCTCTCTCTCCCCCCGGCTCAGCTTCAGGCTCCGCCGCTGCTCAAGCGCTCCGAGAAAGGTGCTGCGTAAAAAACGCAAGTTGTCGTTGCGGTTGTGATTGGGGGTCGTGTTTGGGAGCTGCTAAAAGTTTGGGGGAAATTCCGCCTTCCCCTTCAGTTCACGGAAAAGGAACGTGCAGGAAACGAGGGGGGGGGGGGGGGCTGGACGCTCCGAAAATAGACCCACATAAAGAATAAATTGGGCGCTTCAATCCACGGCTGTTTGCGCGCGATCGGCTGCCGTGTTTTCCCACCAAATCCGCAGCCGCTGCACTTTACGGTGTATCCTGTGAAGCCCCTTTGAGGCGTCTCAGTGACGCGATCAGACTCTGCATCAGATGCCAGGATTATTCTTATCTTCTTAAATAAAATTAATATCATTAAGTATTATTAAATGATAGCAATAAGACTTGCATCTGATCCAGCGCTTTATCGGAGGCTCCTCTTAACTCTCTCTCCTCCCCCCACCCCCACCCCCCCACTCCCTGGGGGGAGGGCGGGGAGGGAACGGGGTTGAGGGTGTGTGATAGGGAGGCAGTGGGGCTTGGCGAGGGCTGGGGTGATGGGGTTTTGAGGGCTGGGGTGATGGGGGGACGGGGTTTAGAGGGCTGGGGTGATGGGGGGACGGGGTTTAGAGGGCTGGGGTGATGGGGGGACAGGATTTAGGGGTTGATAGGGAGGCAGTGGGGCTTGGCGGGTGATGGGGGGGGTGGATGAGGTATGGAGTTTAGTATAAAGTTCTGTTCCACTCTTAAAGCAGCAGGAAATGTGCATTGGGTTGATTGACCAGTTTGCACATCTCAGGGGAACAGAGGAGTTGGCGAGCGAGGGTTGTTTACGAGGGACCGGGGGGGGAAAGCGGAGGTGAAAGGGCCCCTCCCCTCCCTCCCCCAAAATAACCTCACGCAGCTGCGACGCAGTGTGGAAACCGTAACACAGTTTCTTGCTCTAACAGAGAGGTTTTGCTCAGCACTCGAAACGCCAAAAGCCCCTAATTTATTAACACGATAACAATGTCCCTCGAACCAAAACGTCTTTGAGGCCCTTCGCGGGATTTCAAAGCCACGCGAACTCTTCGCGGTATCGATCTTTTTTTCGCCCACAAAATACACAGTCACTTCGCTTGGCAGCGCATCCTGTGAAGCGCTTTGAGACGTCCCGAAGACGTGACGAGGCGCTGTATCAAATGCCGGGATTATTATTATCTTCCCACCCCCCCCCACCCCCCCACAAAGGTAAACAGACACACAGACAGACAAACAAACAGATAGAGAGACGGAGACTCAAAACACGCACACGCACACGCACACACACACACAGGGACAAATATACACAGACACACGGACATGCGTGCACAGACAGACAAGAGACACGCGTTAGGATATACACAGATACACACACACACACACACACACAGACACACACACGCACAGAGATACGCACACACACAGAAAAACGGTCACGTAATGATTAACAGCACAGTCCGGACGCACTCTTTCGCCTCCAAGTCAGATGACGACGCTAAAGGGATGACCATTGTGTTCTGACCAGTGACGTTCTGTTTTCGACCACACGCCCCCCCCCCACCCCCACTCCGTTCTCTCTCTCCCCTCCCCCCCCCCACCCCCACACCCTCCCCCACACCCCCACCGCCGCCCCATCTTTCACAGGATGAAAGGGCGGCCCATTCCTCACAAAATTCCCAAAACAATTATCGGCTTTCCTGGCAGGAAAAGGGTGGAGACAGAAAGGCCAGCGAGGAGGGGAAGTAGTCAGCATGACTTGAGTGAGATAGGGACAAAGCCTCGATGCTCTCCTCATTTCACTCGGGGCGGTGGGGGGGGGGCGACAGGCGGGTGGGATGAGGAGGAAAGGCATTGCGGTCAGAAGCAGGAACCTCGTCTCATTTTTCTCCCTCCCCTCCCCACCCGTTCCCAACCCAAGGCCACCTCCCCCACCCCCCCCCCCCACACCCACATCTTCTGGGGTTCCATCCCACAGCCCGTCCGCCTTGCCCCCGCCTCGACCGCGCCTTCGGTCGCCCTCCTACCCCCTTACCTTCCCCGTGCCCCCCCCCAACCCCCCCTCCCCACACCACCACCCCCTCCTGATCCCAACCACCAGCTCGGGCGTGGTTCCCTGACTGTCCAGCGTCTTGGGACATCCTTCTGACGCCGTGTGAATGTAATGTGTGGTTAACTCGGACCGGGCACAGCTCTGAGTCAGTGAAGTGACTGTGAACCCTCCAGCTCCGGCCCCAAGTATGTTGATAGGAACCAGGTGGCAAGAATGAGTCCCCTCCTGTTTACAGTTTCCCTTAAGCTGCTTCCACAGCCCGGCCCGTGGCCAACATAAACAGCACTGACGGTCGTTCAAACCCCCCACCGCCCCCCACCCCCATCCCCCGTCAGCTCGCCTGGACACAGACCTATTAACCCCCTCTTCTCTCTCTCTCTCTCTCTCTCTGGGCTGCGGTGTTATCTCCTAACCCACAACCACAGGTCTAAAGATAGCTCGGCACAAAATGTGTGTATATATATATATATATATTATACATATATATATAGTTTTTTTTCTATAAAGGCAACGAGGCAGAGAGGTTGTGAGTATTTATGTGTGCGTCTGGGTGTGAGTGCGTGTAAGTGTGTGCGTGTGCGCGGGAGGGAGAGTTTGCGTGTACGCGCGCGCGAGCGTATGTGTGTGAGACGGTATGTGCGTGAGGGAGAGAGTTTGTGTGCGGGTGTGTGTATACAATAGTATTCTCTGTGTGTGAGAGAGAGGGGGAGAGAGAGAGAGAGCGCGTGTGAGTGTGCAAATTGAGTGTGAAAGAGTGCGTGAGAGAGAGAGAGAGAGAGAGACGGACAAAAAAAATGCTTATTTACAATGTGAGCACCAAATCTATAACTCGCTTTATATCACGTGCTGTCAGAACAGAACAGCGCAGTGTTGTGTGTGACTGGGGTGAAATAACAAGCCTGGGGGGGGGGTGGGGGGGTGGTGCGGGGAGGGGTGGGGGCGGGAAACCTGTGACTCAATTCGACTCCCCCGAGCAGGTCCGCAAAGGAGAGTGTCCGAGGTCTTGGACAGTATGGTTGTCTCGCAAGCGAGTGGACCCGGGTTCGATTCCCGGGCAAGGGCGAAACTTTGGGCACGTTTGCACACTCGCGCACACACTCGCGCGCGCACTCGCGCACACACTCGCGCACACACTCGCACACACTCACACGCACACACACACGCACACACACACACACACGCGCGCGCGCCTCTGCTTGTTGAGTCGATTGGCGGATCGCATTTCCGGGGGGTAACAATAATCCCTCCCAAAAGAATTAAAATACCGATAATAATTTGGTCACTTAATCCACGACTGCTGTGCTCAATCGGCTGCCCCACAAGATATACAGTCACTACACTTTGCAGCATGTGGCGTGAAGCGCTGGGGTGGTGGGTGTGGGAGATTTAACTCATCGCAGTGGAATTTATTGACGGGCAAAAATCCCAGACAGGAAACCAAATCAAAACAAGGCATCTGACACACACACACACACACACACACAAGCGAGTGCGGTCAAACAGCGTCACCCTGCTTCACACCGAATCGGAAGCGTAGTGACTGTGTAGGGGGTTGTGAACCGTGAATCAATGATACGCGCAAACAAGTGGAGTCCTGTCACTCGGGGGCTCGAGCAAACCCGGGTTCGATTCCCGGGCGGGGCGGGCGGGGCGGGAGGGGCGAAACCTTAGGCAAGTTTCTTCACCCCACACACTAATTTATTAACACGATAACAATGCCCCTCGAACCAAAACGTCTTTGAAGCCCTTCGCGGGATTTCAAAGCCAAGCGAACTCTTCGCGGTATCGATCTTTTTTTCGCCCACAAAATACAAAGTCACTTCGCTTGGCAGCGCATCCTGTGAAGCGCTTCGAGACGTCTCGAAGCCGTGATGAGGCGCTGTGTCAAATGCCGGGATTATTCTCATCATCGCTGTTATTATTATTATTATCGCGGGGGCGATCGGACAGGTTTGTCGGTGCAACTGGTTGCGGTGATGTTGACTGCCCGTGTGTGTAAATTGTGAGCTGCTCGGGGTAGGGTTGTGAGAGCTGAATTCCCCTTTGCTCTGCGTGTGCGTGTGTGCGCGTGTGCGTGCATACCAGAGGAAATAGTTACAGAGATTCACATGGGTATTCTTTGGTTCGTTTCATAGTCAAATATGGTAAAGACCAGCGGAGGGTCAGTGCCCCGAGCAAGAAGGTTCCAGGGAAAACTGGGAGCGGAGAACCATTCCCTACGCTGTCTGTGTCTGTTTGTTTTCTCTCCGTCTCTCTCTCTCTCTCTCTCTCTCTCTCACTCTCACGCTCTCCTCTCTCAATCGCTTTGTCTGTCTCTCTCGATCGCTCTGTGTGTGTGTGTGTCTCTCTCTCTCTCTCTCTCAATCCCTCCCTCCCTCTCGCTCTCTTTTTCTCTCTCTCTCAGTTTCTTTCTCAAATCGGTCTCTCGGATGCACAGAGAGAGGGTGGGGGCGGGGGGAGAGGTTTGGTATTCATTTGATAAATAAAGAGAATGTCCTGTACACCTCCCCCCTCCCACCCCCACCCACACACCCACACATACACACACGCGGTTCCACGAGCATTTCTTGCTCTCCAGCTGTGGACTTCATCCAGAATGCAGAAAGCTTTTCCCAAATGCAATTGAATTTAATATTAACCCATTCCTGTGTGACTCTCTCTCTCTCTCTCTCTCTCTTTCCCAGGCTTTCTGTGTGTGCATTAAGCGCACGCGTGTGTGTATGTGTGTATGTGCGTGTGTGTATCTGTCTCACTGTAGATTATCAGTGTTAATATCAGACTATATTGAGATGTGGACAGATATTTGTTAGGTCAGGGTATCGAGTGATGTGGAGCAAAGGCGGGTAAATGGACTTGAGATACAGACCAGCCATGATCTTATAGAATGGCGGTACAGGCCGGAGGGGCTGAATGGCCTTCTCCTGTTCCTGTGGTCCTACAAATGTGTTGCTTTATCTCGGTGTCTGCTCTCTCGTCCTCCCAGAGCTCAGCAGCTGAACGATGGGTCGGAGCTGTTTGCAATGCATGAAGTACCTGATGTTTGTCTTCAACCTCATCTTCTGGGTGAGTCTATCTGCTTCGTCCTGTGTGTGTGTGTGTATAACTGTGTGTGTGAGTGTCTGTGAGTCTGTTTGCATGACTGTGTGTGCGCGCGCGTGCGGGTGGGGGGGCCTTCTGTGTGCGAAAATCTGTTGTCCGTTTGTGTGTGTGTTTGAGCTCGGGGAGGGGCTGATCTCCCTCTCTGCGCTGAGCCACTGCGGGGGAGTGAGAGAGAGAGAGAGTGAGTGAGTGAGTCTGTTGTCGGTCTCATTCCTCATGTTAATTAGCTCCTTTACAGTCTTGAGCCAAACATAACACTGGTTTCCTCTGCCGCAGCTGTGAGCCAGGGCATGTGATTCCCCCCCGAACCCCCCCCCCAAACCTCTGCACCCCCCCCCCACCCCCCTCTGCCCAATGGGGTCAGCAATACGCTACTGTGCTCCAAAACTCTTCGACCAGAATCCTTGACGTTCGCCCCGAGAGGACGTGTCGAAGAGCTTTCTCTGTAAAGGATTTCACCGTTAAATGTGAAGTCTCGCCCTTTGCTACAGCGCCTTATCATCGAGCCGTCTCCAAGCGCTTCTCAAAAGATGTTCTGTAGAGCGTAGTGACTGTGTATTTCGTGGGAGGGATTCTCTCTCTCTCTCTCTCCAAATTATTACTATTATTATTTTGAAGGGATTGTTACCCCCGGAAAACCGTTCCCCGCCAATAGACTTGACAAACCAACCGCGCGGTAAACAGAGGTGTGTGTGTGTGGGGTGGGGGGGGGGGGGGGGGGTGTAAGGAAACTTGCCTAAGGTTTTGCCCTGGCGTGACTCAAACCCGGGTCCTCTCGTTAGGGAGGTGAGTACTGCGGGCAGGACTTGATGTTTGTGTCTCTCTCTCTCCCCCCTCTCTCCCCACCCCGATGTCGCCCTGATAGCTGGGAGGATGTGGGATCCTGGGAGTCGGCGTGTGGCTGGCTGTGACTCAGGGTAACTTCGCCACCCTCTCCTCCTCCTTCCCCTCCCTCACCGTGGCCAACCTCTTCATCGCCTCCGGCTCCGTCATCATGGTGGTGGGTTTCATCGGCTGCCTGGGAGCCATGAAGGAGAACCGTTGCCTCCTGCTGACCGTGAGTACATCCCATCCCGAAGCCCCAGCTTCACTCCCGGGATAACACTCTCCTTTTCACCCAAGAGGGTAGGGAAAATCTGGACTATCCTCCGTGGGTTGGGGAGGGGGCAAGTGGCGTCTTCTCAGAGCTGAACTGAAAGGGCCGCCCAGTCGCTCCCCCTCAGCTCCTGTTAGCCCTGCAAACCAAAGCCCCAACTAGCGGAGAGGGTGGTCCTAACAGCGGACAACAACATCAATGGCCAAGCTACCCGTGGGTTTAGCTGCTTAGACTCCCAACAGTTACTCCAACGCACACAGGAAATCTGGAACTCTCTTTCCCTCCGAGAGCCGTGGACGCTGGATCCACTCACCGTTGTTAGGACAGAGGATATGGGGATATGGGGTAATTGCAGTGGAGCTACAGATCAGCCGTGAGGCCGGGGAGGGCTTTGAAGGCGAGGACGAGGATTTGAACTCTATCCTCTGGGGAGAGGGGGGAGTGGGGGTGTGGTTGGGGAGGGGGGGGGCGGTGGTTGGGGAGGGGGGGAGCCAGGTGAGGATAATACAGTGTCTGATCTGTATAAATCGTACAATCAATCACCCAAACCGTACATCTGCCTCTGCCCGAGTCTCGTTCAAGGCATTACATTCTACGCATAAGTCATACCGTACTTTGCATAAGTCAATATTAAATGTATATGTCTCAATCCTGACTGATAAAACTCCCCCTCCCTCCCTCTCTCTCACGTTCTCTCTCTCGCTTTCTTGTTCTTTTTCTCTCTCTCTCTCTCTCTAGCGCTCTCTCTCTCTCTAGCGCTCTCGCTCTCTCTCCTTCACTCTCACTCTCTCGCTAATGCCTTTTCACTCTCTTTCTCTCTCTCTCTTGCTCTTTCTTACTCTCACGCGCTCTCTCTCTCTCTCTCTGACACTCTCTCCTCTTTCTCTCTTTCAGACACTCTCTTTCTCCACCTCTCTGACATTCTCTCCCCTTCTCTCCCTCTCTGCCCCGCAGTTCTTTATCGTGCTGCTGATTATCTTTGTGCTGGAGCTGATTGTGGGAACCCTTTTCCTCGTTTACAAGGAGAGGGTAAGAGCCTTTTCCTTCCGATAACGGCCCTCGCAACCGACACAGCGCCTTTCCCTTCGGGAGTACGTCTCAGGATTTTTCGCGGCGAAAAATGTGTGCGTGATTGTTTCCGTTGGTTACAGATTAACTCTTACGCTAAAGACGACTTGAAGAAAGGACTCAAATTTTACGACAAGCCGGACAACAGGGGCCTGACCAAAGCCTGGGATCTGGTACAGGTTAAGGTAAACCCCTCACCCCGTGCGCTCTTTCTCTTTTTCTCTCTCTCTCTCTCTCTTGTCACGCCAGCAAGACGGTGTGTCAAGCGCAGACGGCTGATTGCCTGTTGACGATGGTCTTTGTTTCCCTGTAGTTTCAGTGTTGTGGTGTCACCAATTACACCGACTGGTTCGGTGTTTTCAACGAGTCCAAAGTGCCGGAAGCCTGCTGTCCTGCACAAGGGCCTCACTGCTCAGAACACGCCGAGAAGTGGTGGAAAATGGTGATAATAATAATAATAATAATGTCTCTTTAGTTCATTCTCACTGTAGAGGAGCTTTACTGTGTCTCTAACCCTGACGTGGGAGTGTGGACGGACGCACAGTGTAGAGGGAGCTTTAACTCTGTGGTAATGGGGGTGCGGGAGATGATAATGATGATAGCGAGTGAATGGCGGAGGGCGCGTGGAGTGAGTGGAGTTGGAATAGCGCTGGATGCATCATTTGGTCGCTGCGTTGGTCAAGTCAGTCGATCGGTCAGTCTCTGTCTAACCCGCTGCCCTTTGCCCTTCCCCAGCCATGCTACGACACGGTGATCAATTGGCTGAAGGAAAACGTCCTGGCCGTCTGCATATTCGGGTTGTGTATCGCGGTGCTTCAGGTAAGAGGCCAAGGCGACACACGCTGCCTTCGCACGTCGGGAGGACGTCCCGAGGCACAGTGACATCGTGTCAGGCGCCCACCCTGTCACCCGGCCGCCTATTTTAGCTGCGGTCGTGACAGTCGTGGCTTCAAGCCCGCAGCTCGGTGGAGGGGTGGGGAGGGGATGGCGCGTGTGTGTGTGTGTGTGTGTGTGGCCGCCCAGGGGAGAGGGGAAGACTTACACACGAGTAGTAAACGTACGGGACAGTTTTCGCCCGGAAAATTCTTACGTCCTTACGTCTTGTTCACGTTTCCGTCTGCACACAGATCCTGGGACTCATCTTCTCTTTGGTGATGTATTGCCAACTGGTCAAAGGGGAGGATAATGATTATTTTTACTGAGCAAAGGCCTCTTCCTCTCGGGACTTGGGCTGTGGGACCAACAACAACTTACATTTATACGGCGCCCTTCCCTTCGTGTCTCGGAGAACCAACCGCTTTGTTCACGTGAAGGGCAGGAGCGACCCCTCAGCACTTTCAACTTCAAGGATTCTTCGTTCCTTACAACCAGTACTTAAACGTGGAACTGTCCTAAAGGGTCGGGGTAGGGGCCGGGGTGGGGGGGGGGGGGGAGAGTTTGCGGGCTGGGACATGAGAGGTGGGGGGTGGGGAGACGAGATGCCATTTTGTTCCTTTCAGGAATGGCTGCTATTTTGTACCTGGGAGGGGGTGTTTGTGTGTAATGGTCACCCACCCAAACCCTCCCCCCCCATACACACACAGCCACACACAAACTCCCATCCAAACCCCTCCAACACCCCCCCACAGCCACACCCCCCACACACTCCCCCACCCGACCACCGCCCCACCCCCCCCCCCACTGCCACCAAAGATTCTGTTCTCTATGTAAATTGTTGGCTTTTTTTTTCAAAATAATCGTCGTTTCCTGTTTATTATAATCGTCCGTGGGTTTGTGCGTTGTGGGAGGCGATGCTGATGGGCTCGTCATGGAAACAAGAACAGCCCCCAGTCCTGGGAGGAGGGGGAGAGTTGGGGGTGATTGATGGGGGTGGGGGGTCAGCGAGCGGAATGCATGAATCAATGGGTGGGGGTGGATGGGGAGGGGGTTTGCCTGATATGGCAGCCCAGTCCAGTCAGATGTCATGCAGGGATGTGGGACAAAGTTTGTGGATTCAATCCCCTTCCCCCCCCCCCCCCCCCACCCCCTGTCGGGACTTTGAGATCAGGGTCTAAAGTGGAAAGTCTGGTGTGAGATTTGTAAGGTGCTTCCAAGTCCCCCAACACTGTGGTCCAAAGCCTTGCCATTATTATTTTGTATTAAATCTGGAGTTATTTTATGATATATATATATATATATATGTGTGTGTGTGTGTAGCGTAAAGCAAACGATATTAGCTTCTGATGAAAACCTGCCTGTCTGTCCATTTGTTTTAAGGATCGCCGAGAGGGGGAAAATGCCATATTTCAAATGCTAGTTATCAAATGGGGTCAGTGTGTGTGTGTGTGTGTGTGTGTGTGTGTCAGCCCGGCTCAGTGTGTGTGTGTGTGTCAGCCCGGCTCAGTGTGTGTGTGTGTCACCCCGCTCAGTGTGTGTGTGTCAGCCCGGCTCAGTGTGTGTGTGTGTGTGTGGTCAGTGGTGTGTGTCAGCCTGGCTCAGTGTGTGTGTGTGTGTGTCAGCCTGGCTCAGTGTGTGTGTGTGTGTGTGTCAGCCTGGCTCAGTGTGTGTGTGTGTGTGTGTCAGCCTGTCTCAGTGTGTGTGTGTGTGTGAGCCTGGCTCAGTGTGTTCGTGTGAGCCTGGTACAGTGTGTGTGTGTGTGTGCGTGTGTCAGCCCGGCTCAGTGTGTGCGCGTGTGTGACAGCCCGGCTCAGTGTGTGCGTGCGCGTGTGTGTGTCACCCCGCTCAGTGTGTGCGTGTATGTGTGTGTGTCAGCCCGGCTCAGTGTGTGTGTGTGTGTGTCAGCCCGGCTCAGTGTGTGTGTGTGTGTGTGTCAGCCTGGCTCAGTGTGTGTGTGTGTGTCAGCCCGGCTCAGTGTGTGTGTGTGTGTCAGCCCGGCTCAGTGTGTGTGTGTGTGTGTGTGTGTGTCAGCCCGGCTCAGTGTGTGTGTGTGTGTGTGTCAGCCCGGCTCAGTGTGTGTGTGTGTGTGTGTGTGTGGTGTGTGTCAGCCCGGCTCAGTGTGTGTGTGTGTGTGTGTGTGTGTCAGCCCGGCTCAGTGTGTGTGTGTGTGTCAGCCTGGCTCAGTGCGTGTGTGTCAGCCCGGCTCAGTGTGTGTGTGTGTGTGTGTCAGCCCGGCTCAGTGGGCAGCGTTCTCACCTCCTGAGTCAAAAAGTTGTAGATTCAAATCCCCACATCAGGACTTGGAACCACACAGTCTAAGTTCCCGCTCCAATACAGCGCTGAGGGATGGTTTTGTTGCATCATTGGAGGTGCCGTCCTTTGGATGAAACATTAAACCTCACTCCCTGAATTTGCCCTATTCGGGCGGACGTTAAAGATCTCCCGCAGCACTGTCGGGTAAAATAGAAAGGGAGTTTCTCTCTCCCAGTGTCTGGGCTGACGATCTGTTTTGTGACAGATATGTCGTCAACATGAATCTCCCTTGTGAAGCCCTGTGGGATATTAAGTATATTGAATGTATACAGATTACTGCGCTGAAATAATCTACACTAAACTAAACAATGCTCCCTACCCTTTCCTCCACTCCTCAAGAACTCCATAAATATAAGTTTTATGGCTTCATAGATCCCAGGGGACAACTGAATTCAGAGGATACAAGGCAGCCCCTTCCTGGGCTGGGTTCCCAAAATGCCTGTTCCTTTGCCAGGTCAACAGCTGGAAGCGTTTTCGAAAGGACTGAGCAGGGGACGTGTTATTTGCATGTTGCTTACCTGCCTCCTGGCAGCACTTAGCGTGAGAGCTATTTGCCAGTGATGGGAACCAGATGAGGTGTGCCTCACCATTGGCAGGCAGGAGTTTCCATGAGCTCATTTTATTGGGGGCCTTTCATTTGCACTTCCCCTCGTTCCATCTTGATTTACCTCCAGCCCCATTTCCCTCCCGCCTCATTCCCCCACCCCTTCCCCCCCACCCACCGCTCTCTGGAACTCCCTCTCTGATGTCCTGAATTTACAACCTTATCTCTACCTCTCCGATCTGCTTACTACCTAACCCTCTACCCCCCTCCCCCCCACCTAGATTCTGCTCGACTGGCTCTGGCTTCCTGCAAGTCCCTCGTGCCCTCCGTTCCGCCATCGGTGGCCGCGCTTTCAGCCACTACGCCCTGAAACTCTAGAACACTCTCCCTCTAGCCCTCTGCCTTGCCCCCTTTCTTCCCCATCTTCAGGTCAGATAATCAAAGTTATCAAAAAAATATAATAACAATAATGTGGTCATTCAAACCAGCGGCTGTTTGTGGGACACTGCTTTGCGCGATTGGCTGCCGCGGTTCACCCACAAAACACACAGTCACTCCACTTTACAGAATAGCCCTCGAAGGGCTTTGAGACGTCCGAAAGACGTGATAAGGCGCCGTATATCAAATGCAAGGATTGTTGTATTGCAATGAGGGCTGTCCCCAGTGTCGGGGCTTTGAGCTCACATTCCAGGCTGACGCTGCAACGCAGAGCTGCGTGTGTGTGCGCGTGTGTGTTGTCGGAGATGCCAATTAAAGCGTCTGTACGTGAAAGAACGTATGACTTGAGAAGCTAATTGGATTGTTTTGATGTGTCCTATCCTTCAGTGCTGTGTGGAGACTCCCAGTGGCCATGCACTGAAATGTTTCTTCTGGGTGAAAAAAAATACCTCTCAATGCAGCCAGCCGGTCAGAATCGATCTGTTTCCACCCTACCTCTAAAATGAACCGCTTGCACAAGCCAGGAGACACTCTCAACGGCCAGTGTGTGTCAGCCTGGCTCAGTCTCGGAGTCAGAACATTGAGTTCAAGTCCCCAGGTTGGGGGAGGTCGTTTGAGCTCACAGTCTAGGCTGACGCTCCAGCGCAGACGCATCTGCCTGTTCAAGTGGACCCTTATTGAAAGAGAATTTGGCCCGAGGTCCTTCCTCGCCAATGATCCTTTGGGTTAATCGGTTGTTGAGTTCAAGGCCATTTGTGTGCAAAATAACTGCGGCATTTCTCTACAATAAGAGTTGTTAGCGACTCTCTATGTCACTGTGCTCGGTGGCCAGAGCGGGAGAGGGTTTGAGTGGCGTTGGAAGCAGATATTCTAGGGTGGTGTCAGCCAGCAGAATGAGGTAGATAGTTGTGCAGTCAATGCAGACACTCCCTCCCCATTGTGATCTCTACTCTCTTCCAACCAGAGCGTAGGCTGGTTGCTGCTTAATCAAATATTAGCGTATCTTAAAGGATTATTCTTCTCATTGCCCAATGTTTAGCGTTTAGATACACAAAGGTACTTATCAGCAACGTCTACCCTGTGCTCACGAGGGGAGTGAGAACACTCTGGTGGCTTCAGATACTGTACTGTAGATAAGGCTTCATGACTGTGTAAAATGTGTGAGGACTAGAGATGGATTATCCTGAATGGGGATCCTCTGTGTTGTACTCCTATTTTGTGCCACAACATTATTTGTTCCTCCAATCCATAGCTGATGCCCGGAAACGATAATGATCGTTGGATTTGATACAGTGCTTTATCACACCGCTGAGACGCCTGAAAGCATAGTAACGGTGGGTGGATGCAGCAGCCAATTTGCACAAACAACAACAACGTCGCCGCAAACAGCCATGTCGTGGGCCAGGACACCGAGCGAGGGAGAAACTCCCTTCTCACTTTAAATAGTGTCATGGGATCGTTAACGTCCCCTGAACAAGGCACGGACAGGCAGGAGCTCAGTGTAACCCGAAGGTTGGCACCTCTGGCAATGCAGTGTTCCCCACCCCACGCCCCAGTACAGCACTGTACTGGGACCTCAGCCTTTCAAAGTCCCCGATATGGGGGCTTGAACCCCCCCCCCAAAGATTCTCGACCGACACGAGGCAAGAGTGCGCACGGTCACTACGCTTGATAACCCATCTATGCGCCTCGTCATGGGGGTTGAGACGCCTCAGAGCGCTTCACAGGCATACACTGCAACGTGGAGTGACTGTGGGTTTTGTGGGCGAAAACACTTTGCAGCAAATCTCGAGACATAAGGCGCCATAATCAAACGTCAGGATCCCTATCACTATAAGGTGTGTGTAGTGTGTGGTGTGTTGGGGGGACAGAATTCATTGATAAATCGCTATAGTATTGTTGGTGTGTGAACTGATCACTTTAATGAATGGCACCGGTCTTGTCCAATCAGCTTGAGCCGCATTTACTCCTGCCCAATCAGGGACGGTGTGAGGCGGGCACTCTCCTGATTGACGCGGCGACAGACCAATCAGAGCAGGGCACGCTCGACTGACCGGGAGGGGGAAACCGGTTGGCCGATTTGATTGACGTGCCAGTGCAACCAATCGGCGGCGAAAGGGGGGAGGACGTGTCCTTCCGCCGCCCGGATTTGATTGACGTGTCAGTGCAACCAATCGACGGCGAGAGGGCGTGTCCTTCCGGCGCCTGAGTTTGATTGACGTGCCCTTGCACCAATCAGAGGGTGGGTAAGCGGGTGAGGCGAGCGACCATTGGGAAAGAGGGTGTGAGTTCTTTTTTTGGGCCCTCGACCATCGGCTCCATTCGCGGTTTAAACGCATCACAATCGGCCCCTCGTCGATTTATTCGTTTAAAACAGAAGGGGGGGAAAAAAAACCCACTCAAAAACCTTTCAAAACACGTCACCGACGTCGCTCACCCTCGGCAGCTCAGCCCATCCCACCACCAAGTTCCCGCCTCCCAACGCCCACTCAGCCAATCCGGAAGCGGGTTGCCCGACGGACAGGCCAACCGTCCAATGGCAGCCAGGCGTCGGGGGCGCGCCGTTTCCGCCCCCGCCCCCATCTTGACCGACAGCTCCGCGAGCCAATCGCGTCGCCGCTCGCGGCCGAGAGGCGGGCGATCGAGCAGCTTGACGGACAGCGGCGCGGGCGGTGGGCGGGAAGGCGAGGCCGATGGGGGGTGGGAGGGGCGGGCTTCCCGCTCGGGGTGACGTCGGCGCGGGTCGACGTGAGCGCCGGACCAATCGGCGGTCGGGTCGGCTTGACGGACGGGAGGGCGGACCAATCGGAGGGGAGGGAAAAGGGGGGGGCGGGGTGGGGCAAGGCCTGGCGGTCCCGCCCAGTTCCGGCCGCTCGCTCGCTCCCGCTCCCCCTCAGTGACAGTCCGGGGCCTGCTGCTGGCGGTGGCGAAAAAAAAAACACACGGCCTCCTCCGCCTCCTTCAGCGTTTGAAGTGGGGGGGGGAAAAAAAAATACTAGCCCAGGCTTCGAGGCCCACCCACCCTCCCTCCCTCTCTCCCTCTCTCTCTCTCCTCACCGCAGTCTCTCTCACTCGACAACCCCCCCCCTCACACACACACACAAGACAAGATGCCGGCCGTGTCGAAAGGCGACGGGATGAGGGGGCTGGCGGTGTTCATCTCGGACATTAGGAACTGTAAGTGGGCCGAGGGAGAGGGGGGGGGGGGGGTGTGGTGGGGGGGGGTCAGTGACATAGACACACAGAGAGACAGACAGAAAGCTCTTCCCCCCCCCCACTCACCCCTCACCCCCACCCCCCACAATTGGGGCATTGCTCCCTGTTCTTTAACCCCCTCCCCCCCCCACCACACTCACTCTCTGTGTATAAGGAGGGGGTGTGTGTGTGGGGGTGGGGGGTGTGTGTGGTTGTGGGGGTGTGTGGTTGTGGGGGTTGGGGGGGCCCCCCCTTTAAATCGTTTTCTTATTAATCATCATCGTTAATAATGATGATAATCGATAATACTAATAATAATCGTTGCGGTTGACACAGCGCCTTTGTCACGCCTTCAAGACGTCTCGGAAGCGCCTCACGACATTGACTGTACATTTTGTGGGTGACTGACACCGCAAAACATAGGTCTTGTTATTATTTATTGGAACAGCGTTATCATATCATTTATGCCTGGGATTATATACATATATATGGTCATAATGTATATGCTGTGCTATAGCTATATAGTTTGCGTGTGATAATGTATGTACTCAGATAAGTGTGTGTGAAAGGCGCTATACAAATGTAATTTTGTTGTGTGATGTGTAGGGACAACAGTCTATAGTCAATATATATGGTCTATTGTACAACAGTCAATTTCTATATTGGCAGATAATCTGTATATTTTTGTATATCTATATTGTATACATTTGTCCAAATGTGTGCAATTTATATATTCCGTATTCATCTAATCTCTATTATATATCTAAATCTATCTTATGTTCGTACGATATATGTATTCAATTTATATAAAATCATATTTTTAAAACGTCTGCTGCATAAAATCTATTTTACGTACAGCGTATGTGTGAGACATGTACACAATTGATATAGGTTTTCTATGTGCATATAATCTATTTTTGTATACAGTATATACATGTATGTGTGTGTGTGTGTGTGAGACAAACTGTTCTTCAAATTCCATTAATTCCCCGATGCCTCTGATCTGCACCACTCTTCCTGTCTTTCTCCCTGAACCGCCCCTTCCCCCAGGTGTTTGGGTGGTGGGATATTGTCCAGCACCTTGGGATGTCCTCCCAACATAAACGGCTCTATACAAATGTAATTTGTTGTTGTTGCCCTTTTATTTAAATAGCGGGCTCTCGCTGACTGCAGTAATGCTGATGCCTTTCTCCTCCCCCCCCCCCCATTCTGCTGCCTACTCCCCCGCCTGCCATCCCTTAGCGCCCATTTAATTTTAATTTGCACCCCATACTGTTCACAGGGTTGGTCTGTAACATACTTTGCAATTTGAAAGGAGGGAGGTTGGGTGGGAAGAAGTGGGGAGGGGGTGGAGGGTACAGGCTCCCCAGTCGCAGATTCCCACCTAAACCCTACACATGGTCACTGCCTCTTGGAGGGACCTATATACAGGCAATATTTTGTTGTTGTTGTTGTTTCGGGGGGGGATGAGTTCAACAGCAGGGCGTTCATTCTTAAACATGAGTGGGTAGACCTGAGAGGGGGAGAAGGGAGGAAAGAGAGAAATAATAGAATTGATGGGGACCGGGCAAAGGGAGAATTTCCCCACTCCGCTGCCCTGCCTTGAATTAATGCACCTGTCCCCGCACGCGCTCCCTCACTGCAATCTGGAACGTTGCAGTGCGGTGAGGATGTGCAGGCAAAATAAAACGACGGGGCTTAAACAATCAGCACAAAAATGCCAGGGTTAAACCCAACAACCGGTTAGTTAGTTAGTTGGCAAGCGCTGTGCGTGGCATCGGTGAGGAATAAAATGGTGTCTGAAGTGATGTGGGGGCTGGGGGAAGGGAGGGGGAGAGAGAGAGAGAGAGAGAGCGAAGTGAGAGAGAGAGAGAGAGACCCACTCCTCGCTGTAGGTCAAAATCAGCTGCGAATCAGGCTGGGTTTTGTAAATGGAACAGCATGGTTTGAGTGAGAATGACAGCACCTTTTAATGCAGTATGTGTGAGAGAGATAAATGTGGTGTGCGCGTGTGTGCGAAAGATGTGCGTTTCACATTAGGTAATCACTTGTGTTGGGTGGTGCTGAAACCACCATCAAAACTGGAGTCTAAATATCTGCAGTAAAACAACGCCAGCCCCTGTCTGCGTTAGTCTGTGACTTACCCTATATCCCAGTTTTACAGTAGCCTTGAGTGGTACTGAACCTTGACCACAACCTCAGGGTCACTAGGTACAGCTTTGATCCATTTAAAGGCAAAAAATGCCTTTTCTGCTTTTCTATTTTGCTCCCCAAACCCGTGTGGAGCATCGAAACAGGAGGAGGCCATTCAACCCCTCGAGCCTGTTCCGCCACTCTATAAGATTGTGGCTCATCTGTAGCTCAGCTCCAATTACCCACCCTTATCTCATGTCCCTTGATACTCTGTGTGTGTGGTGTTAGTAGACAACCTCATGTTGACAGTGGCTCTGCTTTGATGTCCTAAGGTGGCATCTCGGTTTCCTGTCTCCTCCGAATAAAAAATAATTTGGTCGCTCAATCCATGACCGTTTGTGGGACGCTGCTCTGTGCAATTGGCTGCTGCGTTTCGCCCACAAAATTCATAGTCACTACACTTTACAGTGAGTGTATCCCGTGAAGCGCTTTGAGATGTCTCAATGAGGCGATAAGGCGCTATATCAAATGCAAGGATTATATTATGATAAAACAGCAGTGCTTCCATCAATGCTGTACTTGAGTGGCAGCCTGGACTGTGAGCTCACGTGGGACTTGAACCCACAGCCTTCTGACCTAGAGTTGATACCGAGTCATCAAGAGTTGTTTGAATCAATATCGAGTTCAGTTGATCCCAGGCTCAAACCCATCCCTTCAGTGTGAGAATACTACCCCCTTTGAGATGCCTGAGGTCCACGTCAGGCGGCTCGTACGTGTGTTTACCATTACGCAGACGGTTTTGCCGAGATGCAGGTTTGTGCATCGCAAATTGTCACTATTTTGTAAGGTGGTTTGGAGACTGCATCCTGGCTTTTGAGCTGATGTGATGTGGAGTCCTGTCGCTCAGTGGTTAGAGCACTCGCTTTGCAGGCGAGAGACCTGAGTTCAATTCCAGGCAGAGGGCGAAACCTTGAGCAAGTTTCCTTACTCCACACAGAGCCTAATAATAATCCCTCCAAAACCAAAAAACAATAATAAATTGGTCATTTTCAATCCACGACTGTTTGTGGGACATTGCTGTGCGCAATCGGCTGCCGCGTTCGCCCACAAATATACAGTCAATTCACTTTGCACTGTGTTCTGTGAAGCGCTTTGGGACGTCCTCCCGACGTGAAAAGCGCTATATCAAATGCAAGGATTATTATTATTATATTATTAAGTAAAGGGTGCAGAATTGTCTCTAGCCTTGTCCCAGCTAACCCCACTGTGTGAATCTTCCCCTTGCAACCTCCCCACACCCCCCCCTCGTCCACTTGGCACTGCTTGGGCTGAAGGCAGCTGCCCTGTGTGGAACTTTGCCCAGGTTGGAGTCAGTGCCTGGGACTGGGAGTGGGTGAAGAGCATTCAGTGAGGTGGGAACGCCTCTCCCTCACCCCAGTGCCCGCTGAGAAGCACAATAGCTGATTGTGAGGAGCTCGGCGCTGCCCCGCCACTCCAGCCACAGGAGACTGTGCGGAGAAGGCAAGACACTCTTCCTGCAAGCAGCGCCAATCAAAGACTCTACTTGCCGGGTTTAAATCTCAGCCCATCACTGGTTATAAACCCTCCAAAAAAAATCTGGTCACTCAATCTATGACTGTTTGTGGGACACCGCTGTGCGCAATTGGCTGTCGCATTTCGCCCACAAAACACACAGCCACTACACTTGACAGAACATCCTGTGAAGCTTTGAGACGTCTCAACGACGTGATACAGTGGTATATCAAAGGCAAGGATTATTATTATGATTCACCTCTTTGACCGCACTTTTCCCTTCCCTTGCCTCCAGTCCTCACCCCCCACGGCTTGGTTGCTCAACCAGCCGTGTCGAGTGCTTTGAGACTTTCTCCACACATGATGGACGCTGTGCAAATGCATATTGTATTGTGTGAGCAGCAGTGTTCTGTAAATATTGCTGTGTGTGTGTGTAAATCTGTGGGTGGGAGGATTTCTGAATACAGCCGTTTAAGGGGGAATGTAGTGCTGAGCGGCAGAGGAGGGAAAGAGATGGCATGTAGGAGAGGAATGGCTTACTGGATTACACAGCGAAAAAGCTCTGGACAGAAGTGCTACCCCCATAGGGGATTGTTAACACTTAAGTAAAGGTGTGTGAATTAATTGGTGTTATCTACAATTGCTTCCGTAGCTGTAGATATTAATAACTACTGATTTTTGTAAACCTCACACTTGTCATCGTGTCATCATATCGTCAAAATATCCCAAAGCGCCTCACAGGTATTTCCAGCAAAGGGCAGTGACCGTGTGTTTTGTAGGCGAATACTGCAGCCAATTTGGCACAACAACTTCCCGCAAGCAGCCATGAAATGAACGACCATTTTTATTTAGAGGATTGTCAGCCAGGAATTGTCAGCCAGGAGACTCCCTTCTCTTTTCCAGTGGTGCCATGGGTGATCTTTAACGTCCACCTGAACAGGCGGTCGGGACCTTGGTTTCTCATCTGAAGGGCAGGAAGCCCCACAATGCAGACCTTCTGCCCCCACCCCCACCTCAGCACTTCATTGGAGTGTCAATCTAGACTGAGCTTAAAGTACTGACGTGGCCTTGAATCCACATACGTTCTGACTCTCAAGTCGAGAGAACTACCCAATGAGTCAGGCTGACATTTTCCTTACTTCCCAGCAGTTTGAAGGAACACAGCAAGGAACTCCCGCTATCCGCTGAGCCTTGTCATATTCACGGCTTCTTCGCAAAACTATGTTGAAAGGATCATTAAAGGCAGAGCAAAGGAGGGTTAGATGGCAACCAGATGCCAATGGCTTAGGACAGAGGAATAACTGTATTCTTGCTCCACACCGCTTTGCTTTCGTGTTCTCCCTTCCTCTGAGAAAATGTTCCGTTTGCAGACAAAGCACACCGGGTCCAGGAGGAATCTCAGCAAACGCTCTCCCACAGCGGTGTGAGTGACCAATTTAAGTGGAAGGTTTCTTGGCTGTAACCAAGAGAGTAACTCCCTTCTATTTCCCAATCCTGTAGCGTCAGGGGATCTCTCACATCCGCCCGAAGAGGCAGTTGACGAGAAAGTGCAGCCTGTGCTGAAGGGATTGAATGAAGTTGGAGTCAGTTTGAGTACAGTTTGCATGCGATTCGGTGTGCAAAACTTTCAGAGAGCGGACACGGTGGGTCGATGGTCTCCTCTGCTGTAGGATTCTCATAGTGTAGTGGTTAGCATGATTGACCTCAAGTTGGATTCCTGGGCGGGACAGAACCTTAGTTTCCTTACTCCACACTCACGCTTGTTGTTTACCAGCAGTAAGTAGGAACCCGGTTGTTAGTCGATTGACGAGTCACTTACCAGAGGTAATAATCCATTATTAAAAAAAAGTCACTCAATCCACAACTGCTTGTGGGACACTGCTGCGTCTCACAAAAATACAGTCAATTCACTTTACAGTGGAGCGCTTTGAGAGGTCTCAACGATGTGATGAGGCTCTGTATCAAATGCAAGGATTGTTATCAATAAAATTCGCAGCCTCTGTGTAAGAAGGACGCGTCTCTCCACGGGTGGAGATGATTTTATTTTCTGCCCGGTTTGGGATAATAATAATAATAATTCCTGTGGAAAGAGCAGAGAGCTTCAAAAGTCATTGCTAATTCAAGATTGTGCCGTGGGGTTGCCTGGCTGTCTTCTCCGTTAATCCACCCTCCATTAAGGAGCTCGGAAACGACAACCACACAATTCTGAAGGCGTTTGTGTCCCAGACAGTCGCTCTCAGACACTGCAGACTCTTCTTACCTTTCACTGCTTCTTGTGATTGTGAGCGGAGTGCTCCCTCGGGCTATCTCTACCTCCCAACGTACACACACGCGCGCGCACACACGCGCACACAATCTGCTTCCATTGGACTGTCCGTTCAAAGTTTTATGCGGAAATCTCTCTTCATCCTGACCGCAGAGCACGCAATCCAGGCATGACCTCCCCTGACCTCTTTGTGGCTCTGCCCAACTGCAACCATCTTCACCCTCAGCTCTCATTCACAAATATATTTCTGTAGCGCCCGTCACGCAGGATTGGGGGTGTGTGGAGAGAGAAAAGTGGCAAAGGAGTGAGACAAAATGGAGAGTTCTTTCAGAGAGCCAGCACGGGCACAGTGTGCTGAAAAGCCAACGCAGACATGGGTGAATGGCCGCTTCCTGTGCTGTCCGTCCGTTCCAGGATTCTATAAGCGTTTTATTTTATTTTATTTTATTTTAACATATGCGTTTCCCTTTCAGGTAAAAGCAAAGAAGCCGAAATTAAGCGAATAAACAAAGAGCTGGCAAACATCCGATCAAAGTTCAAAGGTACGAACGACAGAGTTTGCAGATGAAATGGTCTGGTGGCTGGTCCTGGCTGGGGACGGAGGCGGGGAGATTTTAGTGACTGACCATTGCTGCATGTGTATGTGTGTGTGTGTTTGTGCACACACACACACACACAATCTCCATCCATGAGGGTCAGTGTTCAGCAATCACCTTGGCCCAGGCTGAGATCTGCTGACTCAAACGGAACTGGGGATCGAACTAGCGATCTTCCATATCTGCACGGCTCTGGAGAGAGACATGGGGGGGGACGCATTCCATTTGCAAAGTGTGGAGCGAGTGTGTGTGTGTGTGTTTGTGTGTTATACACATGCAAAGGCACACATACCAGTAATCATTAGACTGCCTGTTGTCAGATGTTAGAGATAGAGCCCACGTTAGGAAATTGGGAAATACCTTTGCACCCAATACAGCTGTCAGAGAGAAAGGGGAAGTGTTTCTGTCTCCCAGGAATATGTGGTGGGGTGGGTGTCAACCACCTTCAGACATGACTGAGCCACACAATAATTTTGAGTGCGTGTGTCTGTCTCTCACTGTGTCTATCTTTTTCTCTCTCGCTCTGTCTCTCACTGTGTATGCCTCTCTCTTTCGCTCTCTCACACTGTGTCTCTCTCGCCACTCTCGCCTTATCTCGCTCTCCTCTCTCTCTCTCTCTCTCTCTCGTCTCCTCTCTCCCCTTTTCCTCTCCAGATTGCAGCCCTTGCAATTTAAAACCCCAGCGACCTAACAGAAAGCAGCATCTCTTTCTACAGCACGTCCTGCCTTCCTGTCGGGGTCACGAGTCCGTCTGTTTGTGTGTTTTCAACCCAGGGAAAGCTCGCGTGCATCAGCAGGGTGTCAGCAGGCATCACTCGGCAAAGGGGAAGGGCGAGGGGAGAGGGAGGGAAAGGGAAGAGATTTGTATAAGCAAAGCCCTACTTGTGACTGCACTGTGTAACAATAATAAATTGCATTTGCACAGCGCCCCCTCACCCCCTCATGCAAGGCAGCGTCCCACAGCGCTTGAGCACGAGCTGAGCCGGGGTGGGGCGGGCGCAGGGTGAGGAGGGTTGACCGAAGACTCAGTCAAAGAGGAAGGTCTTCTGGCACGACCTGAAGATAAGGAAGGAAGGGCGAGGCGGCGGGGTCGTGGGAGAGTGTTCCAGAGTGTTTCAGGGCATCGTAACTGGAAGTGCGGCCACCAATGGAGTACAGGTGCAACCAGCTCAGTTTGACAGCAGGCCTAGCAGCTGCTTGCCTGGTGGCGAGGAATGCTGAGATCTGCCTTTGTCTGTGGCGTGACGGTGTATTTGGGTGGGTGAGACGCAAGTTTTTTTTTAATGCAAGAGAGCTGTGCACGTACAGCACATCACGCGAAGAGCTCCTGGCGTGAAAGAATGTGTCAAATGCAAGGATTATCATCTTTAGAGTCACTAGTGTGCCACACCCGTGTATAAACTGCAGCCTTACAGCCAGGTTTACTCGCTTGCACTGACAGCGACTCTCCGGGGGCAGATTTTGTAGCAGTTCCAACCCTCCTCACCTGTTCCTCTCTTTCTCTCTCTCTCTCTCTGATCTCTCTGCCCTTCCCTCTCTCAGGAGACAAGGCCCTAGACGGCTACAGTAAGAAGAAATATGTCTGCAAGCTGCTCTTCATCTTTCTGCTGGGCCACGACATCGATTTCGGCCACATGGAAGCCGTCAACCTGCTCAGCTCCAACAAGTACACTGAGAAGCAGATCGTGAGTGTGTACAGTTTGCTAGTTTCACTGTGACTGTACAGCGTCCCATCCCCTCTTCCCAACACTAGGTCCTCACTCCCTACAAACCACCGCCACACTTCCTAGTAACTCACTGCGGTAACACTTTGAGATGTTTGGATGTGACAAGACGCTGCATCGAGTATACATGTTAGCAGAAGCAGGACTTAAGTGCGTGTGTGTGTTTTTTTTTCCTGCCCCCCCCTTCTCTTCCCCTCCCAGTGAGAACCAGTGAGGCCAGTCGCAGAACATTCATCGCGCAGAATACCCACAAGCCTATCTGTGTCGCTTGATAATACACCACACAGTGGACTCATCCCTGAGCTGTAGATAAGGAGTGGTGGTGGCGGGGTGGGGCTGGTGTAAGGCGGAGGGATTGAGGGTGAGAGTTCCAGAGTTTTGGGCGTGGCAGCTGATGGTGGAGCGGAGGGTCGAGATTTCAAACCCAGAAGCCCCTTTAGGCAGCTGCAAATGTTATAAATGCCATCTCTTGTGTCCTCAGGGTTACCTTTTCATCTCGGTGCTGGTGAACTCCAACAGCGAGCTGATCCGCTTGATAAACAACGCCATCAAGAATGATCTGGCCAGCCGCAACCCCATCTTCATGTGCCTGGCCCTGCACTGCATCGCCAACGTGGGCAGCAGGGAGATGGCAGAGGCCTTTGCCTCCGAGATTCCCAAAATCCTCGTGGCTGGGTAAGGCAGTTCCCTCCAAAGCGTCCTAAGGTTTCTCTCTGACCACCTTTTCTCTCTCTTTTTGGCTCAGTCTCCGAGTCAGATGGTTGTGGGTTTGAGTCCACACATGCACACACATGCACGAGTGCACCTTGAAGCTCACAGTTGTAGCTGACGCTCCAATGCTGGGAGAGCGCCACAATAGCAGAGGCACTCTCCTTCGGATGAGATGTTAAACTGAGCTCCGTCTGCGCCCCGATCAGGTGGACGTTAAAGATCCCGGTGACGCTATTTGAAAAGAGAAGGAAGTTTCTCTCTCCTGGTGCCCAATTGCCCAGATAAAATCACTTCATTGAAGACATCGCTGTGCACAAATTGGCTGCTGTGTTCGCCTACGAAAACACACAGTCACTAGACTTTACAACGATTGCTGTGAAGTGCGTTGAGACGTCCTCCTGACCTGGAAGGCTCTGTATCAAACGATTGTGGTTTAAAATGGCTGACTGCGTGCTTGTGTGTTGTCAGGGATACCATGGACAGCGTGAAGCAGAGTGCCGCCCTGTGTCTGCTCCGTCTCTACAAGACGTCCCCGGATCTGGTGCCCATGGGCGAGTGGACCTCTCGCGTTGTGCACCTGCTCAATGATCAGCACCTGGTAACCAATGCTTGTCTCTCTCCATTGCTCTAAACAAAGCACTGAGTGTCTGCTTAGGTGGCACCTGCAGCTGATGCCTGCCAGTGAGAAGCTGAAGGTTAATCACAGAGCACGTGATGTACAGTGGGGGCTTATGTCCTGTTTGTACAGTGTGGGCCGTATAGGTCTGAAAAGAGAAAGGAGTTTCTCTCTTTCTCTATCTCTCTTCTCTCTCGCAGTGAGTTTAAGACACGTTTCTCGGCAGACAATCACCCGGATAAAGTCGCTCATTCACTTCACCAGGGTGTCGCTGTGTGGAAATTGGCTGTGCTGTGGGAGAGGGGGGGAGGTTTATGAATAAGGCGACTTGCAGCGTGGGGGCGCGGGGGTGGGGGGGGTGTTCCATGAGTTGATAGCGGGGGCAGGTGGGAGTTGTATGGTTGCGGTTGACAGAGCCGGTGATGGTGGGGGTGTTACAGTGGAGGACGTGCGAGTGGTGTTGATTACACGGTTACTGTCTGTTTCAGGGGGTGGTGACCGCAGCTACCAGCCTCATCACATGTCTCAGCAAGAAGAACCCAGACGAGTTTAAGACGTGTGTCTCGCTGGCTGTGTCCAGGCTCAGTCGGGTAAGCGAGAGAACAGCCCCCTGATTTACACTTGAGTTTACATCAGCCGTGCCCAGCACTGATCCACAGCATCGGTTTCCAGGCCCTCGTGCCTTTGCTATGTGTTTCGTTTCTCCCTGACTTTTCGAGTTCTTCCTCGTTCCTGGATCTATTGTTCACAGACCTTGCCCTCACCCTCTGGAACTCCCATCGCTCGTCCCCTCCCTTTCCTCCCTCAAGAACCCTCTCAAGGCCGACTGCGCCTTCGGTTATCCTCCTTCTCCACCCCTCCCCCAACCCCCAGCTCGGGTCTAAATCCCTGACTGCCCAACACCTTGGGACGACAACCTGACGTGAAAGGCGCTGCGTAAATATGAATAAATATTGTTGCCCGTTGAGTTGAAGTGTAAATTACTTGTCTCCCCTTTTTCCAGATCGTGTCGTCCGCCTCCACTGACCTCCAGGATTACACCTATTACTTTGTTCCTGCGCCCTGGCTGTCTGTCAAGCTCCTGAGACTCTTGCAGTGCTACCCTCCCCCTGGTAAGACAACCCACCCCCCCCACCACCCCCTCTTCTCCCAGTGAAATAGTTTATTTCCTATAGCCTTTTTGGTTGGCACACAAGTAACAAAATACCGTAGATTTATGCCATGAATTGGAACGCACCTGCTCTGGAAGGCTGATCAGTTGTGTTTAAAGTGGTGAATTGGCAGAGAATGGGATGAGAGCTGTCTCGATGAACGGAATGGCCTTCTCTTGGTCTCCCCATCCCGTGCTCGCCTGTGCCTCACCGCGCCATCTTTGGGGTGCGACAAGAGTTCAGTGATTTTCCCTTCCTCTTCTATGCAGAGGACACTGCCGTGAAGGGCAGGCTGATCGAATGTATGGAGACCATCCTGAACAAGGCTCAGGAGCCACCCAAGTCCAAGAAGGTGCAACACTCCAATGCCAAGAACGCCATTCTCTTCGAAGCGATCAGCCTCATCATACACTATGACAGGTAGAGCAGGGCCGGGTAGGTTGGTGGGGGGGTGGGGGTAGGCTGGAGAGTGTGGGGAGGGGGTAGAACAGGGCATCGCAGTGCCTATCTGATTGGGTCCCTCGTTCCCCCTCCGCTCCACCGTCAGGCACAAGGCCCCAAAACTTCCTCTGCCTTCCTCCCTCCCCAATTTCAAATCCAGCCTAAAGACCTTCCTTTCCGATCGTGCTTACGGTCACCTCTCTCTCTCCCTGGCTCTGGGTCACTCTCTTGAGACCTCACCCCGCGTGAAGGGCGCTGTGTAAGTTGTTGTCGTTGCGTTCTGTCACAGCGAGCCGAATCTGCTGGTGCGAGCCTGTAACCAGCTGGGCCAGTTCCTTCAGCACCGGGAGACTAACCTGCGTTACCTGGCCCTGGAGAGCATGTGTCTGCTGGCCGGCTCCGAGTTCTCTCACGAGGCCGTCAAAACCCACATCGAGACCGTCATCAACGCGCTCAAGGTGAGCCTGGCGCGTGCGTGCGAGCGAGAGAGAGTGTCAGAGGCGCGTGTGTGTGGAGGTGGGGAGTGGAGAGAGAGAGAGAGAAAGGCTCGTATTGTGAGGGGAAGGAACGACGTTGCTCATTGTATTTTATATGATAACCCAATAACTGCTCCGCTCTCACATCCACAATCCCAGTTGACATGGATGCCAGGCTCTTTAACGTACAGCTCCTTCAGTTACACAAAATATAGTCAATTCACTTTACAGTGTATTCTGTGAAGCGCTTTGAGACGTCTCGAAGATCAAATGCAAGGAGTCTTATTATTATTATTGTAGTGCGAAGCTCCCTGCCCTATGGGCTTTTTTTTCAATGCAATACACCCACCAAAGCTCTGCGAGTTTCAGACCAGCTTCTTCCTCTCCCGCAGACGGAGAGGGACGTGAGTGTGCGACAGCGAGCAGCAGACCTCCTGTACGCCATGTGCGACCGCACCAACGCCCCCCAGATAGTGGCCGAGATGCTGAGCTACCTGGAGACGGCGGACTATTCCATTCGTGAAGAAATCGTGAGTCTCCTTGCCTTTCTGCTTGTGCTTGGAGGGGGAGGGCTGGGGGTAGGTGGGGGGCAATGGTTACGCAGTGATGGGGTGGAGGGGTGAGGGAAAATAAGGCAAAGCTTGTCCTGGAAGAGTTAAGCGCTTTTGAGACCGGAATCCGTTGTTGTTGTTGTTGTTGTGGAAGGTGCAGAATAAATGTGAAATGTGTTGTATTTCTCTCCCCCCCCCCCCCCCACCTCTGTCTGTCAGGTGCTGAAGGTGGCTATTCTGGCAGAGAAGTACGCTGTGGATTACACGTGGTACGTGGACACCATCCTGAACCTGATCCGCATCGCGGGAGACTACGTGAGCGAGGAGGTGTGGTACCGTGTCATTCAGATCGTCATCAACCGCGACGACGTCCAGGGCTACGCCGCCAAGACCGTCTTCGAGGTGAGGATCTGCCCCCGAGTTGCAGCCGCGAGTCTCCCAGAGCACAGCGATGCCAATACGATGAGGCGCTATATCAAATGCCAGGATTATTAATATTATTATTATTATTATAACCTGTGTCCTCGGTTCTCAGGCTCTGCAGGCTCCGGCCTGCCACGAGAACATGGTGAAAGTCGGCGGCTACATCCTGGGAGAGTTCGGCAACCTCATCGCTGGGGATCCACGGTCCAGGTGAGCCTTGCTATATAGCAACCTTCACGCCGGGGTAGTGTCCTGGAGCGCTTAAACCGAACTTGGGTACGACTTAGGCAATTGTACGATTTATACAGATCAGACTCGTGCAGAGTTTTATTGTAAATCTAATGGGAATGAACGTTGTCTGTCTGTGTTGTGTGTGTGTGTGTGTGTGTGTCTGTCTGTGTTGTGTGTGTGTGTCTGTCTGTGTTGTGTGTGTGTGCGCGCGTGCGCGTGTCTGTCTTTGTTGTGTGTAACCCCCTCTCTCTCTCCTCGACCCGTTCAGCCCCCTAGTCCAGTTTAACCTGCTGCATTCCAAGTTCCACCTGTGTAGTGTGCCCACCCGGGCCCTGCTGCTCTCCTCCTACATCAAGTTTGTCAACCTCTTCCCCGAGACCAAGACCACCATCCAGGACGTCCTGCGCAGCGACAGCCAGCTCCGCAACTCTGACGTGGAGCTCCAGCAACGAGCCGTGGAGTACCTCAAGCTCAGCTCCATCGCCAGCACCGACGTCCTGGTGGGTATCGCTCCTCCTCCGCCTCACTCCTCCCTACCTCTGCGAACCGCATTGCTCCCTCCGCTCAGTGGGCTCAAGCCTGCTCTATGTCCCCTGGCCTGCTAGCCCCCCACCATCGGCAGTCAGGCCTTCAGCCTCTCTGCCCCTACCCTTTGCAGCTTCATCCCACAGTCTCATCGCCTCCTTCAAGACCTTCCTCTTCGAACGCGCCGTCGGTCACTCTCCTAACCCCATCCTCCCTGCCTGCCTTTCACCCCTCCTGATCCCAACCTCCAGCTCCTGTCCAAATCCTTGACTGTGCGGCGTATTGCAACATCCTCCCAATGTGAAAGGCAGTTGCCATGTAAATGTAATGTGTTGTATCAGAAAGAGCCTCTCAAGACCGTATACACTCTCTCTCTTGCTCACTCACTCTCTCTCTCTCTCGCACTCTCTCAGGCCACCGTGCTGGAGGAGATGCCTCCGTTCCCCGAGCGCGAGTCCTCCATTCTGGCCAAGCTGAAGAAGAAGAAGGGACCGGGGACCGTGACGGACATGGAGGAAGGCAAGAAGGAGCAGAGCGAGCTGAACGGGGGGGTCGAACCAGTCGCAGTCAATGCCAGCACCGTGGTGAGGCTTCTGTCTCTGACCCGGGCGTGGGGGAGGAGAGGGGGGAGGGAGAGAGAGTGAAGAGATGTGGAGGAGGGAGGAGGAGGGGATGGAGAGGAGGGAGGAGAGGCGGGAAGGAGGGGGAGAGTGAGGGAGAGAGGTGGGGGTGCCTTCCGACTCATATGATGAACAGTTTGGATGAAGAAGCCCCATCTGATCGTAGTCCAACCCTCTTTGAGTTAATTATTAAATGAGCCCTAGTGTCCTCAACCACCATTCCTGACAACCCTATTCCAGTCGTCGATTACCCTGGTGTCTGTGTGTCTGCCCTGAAATTGCCCCATTTGTAAACTCTTAACCCTGTGTGTGTCCTCTCGTTCCGCTGCCTCGGTGGGTGTAAAATTTGGCTCTGAATCCGTGTGACTCAGACACTGGCTGAGCCATTCACTCGCTGAGCCTGTGGGGGAGCTTGGATCAAGCCTGTTATATAGAGGTGTTGATCTGACAGGAGGCTGGTGGCACACAGTGCAGTCTGCTCGCTGCATGACGGTGTTTCTCCAGTAATGCTATCCTCCTGTGTGTAAGGTGAGACTAAGTGTGCTGCTTACCTTGCAGGTCAGTGTTGCCAGGCCCTGCCCTGAGTGAGTTTATTTTCTCCTCGCCTGGAGTCATTTACAGTTGGCTCCCTGGGAAGGTGAGAAAACAGGAGCAGGAGGAGGCATTTCAGCCCACCAAGCCTGACCTCTTGTACCAGATCTTTTAATCCCAGTGCCTCGCCCTTTCCTCCTCTTTACACCATAAAGACACGCCTACTTGTAATGAAATTCCTTTCATTCTTTTAACGTGCTTTGTTGATGTATATCCTGTGAAGCGCTCTGAGACGTCTCGACGACAGCTGAGTTTACGGTCACCTGTCCTCCTGTGACAGTGCAACGTAATGCTACTCCAGGCAGTGGCTTTAGGTCAGCCTGGCTCAGGCAGCGGCTCAGTTGGTTAGTACTCTCACCTCCGAGTCAGAAAGTTGTGGGTTCAAGCTCCCCACAGTGAGAATTTGTGCTCGCAGTAGTCTAGGCTTGAGGCTCCACACGTTGCCGGGAGAGCCCTGAGCTGTTGGAGGTGCTACCACTATTGGTGTCTTGTTCCCCACGTTGGTAACTGACTGGTGTATGTCTGGCTTTCCCACCCTTCTCTCCCCTCCCCCAGTCGACTCCATCTCCTTCCGCTGACCTCCTGGGCCTGAAGTCCACGCCAGCCAGCGCAGGTGGAGGCAGCCTGCTGGTGGACGTCTTCACCGACGCCCTGCCCGGCACTGGAGGGCTGGCACCCGGCTCCGAAGAGAATTTCTCCCGGTAAGCGCCTAACATCAGGCTGTGCGCGTGTGAGCACGCGTGTGCACGACCTTCTGTGACTGCTGCCAGCACGAACAAGGGTTTCACATTGCACGTTGCACGCTTTATAAGCAAGATAAAACGCTGTGTTTTTTTTTTTCCCGTCCAGCTCGTCGGGATGTCCTCACCTTCGTGAAAGGCGCTGCGTCAACTCAATTGGTTGTTGTCAGTTCAGCCTCTCTGCTCCACGCCCCCCACCCTCCATCTCACAGTCCCTTCGCCTCACTCCCTCGCTTACCTCCTTCAAGGCATGTCTCAAGACCCACCTCTTCCAACCTTTGTGCCTTCTGTCACCCTCCTACCACTCCCCCCCCCCCCAACCCCTCCTGATCGCCTTGGGACGTCCTCCCGACGTGAAGGACACTGTGTAAAACGCAATCGGTGGTGGTTGTTGTTGTTGATGATTTTCCTCTCTTGTTCCTCTCCTCACTCGCACGCCCTCTCGCTGGGGCCCCGGTGTGGACTGGCTGGGTGCAGAAGCTTGGATGCGCCCAGTGAGGGCACTGCATCGCTGTTGGGGAGCCCCCCTCTGGGCCCAGAGTAAGGCGTTCACTCCCTCCCACTCACCCACCCATCGTCAAGACAGTCTCGGCCCCAACATTGATTGTTATTTGCTCCTAATATATACAGCTTGTACCAGCTTGACTCTGGAGGGATGGGGGAGAGGAGGAGGTTGGCAAGAGAAAAAAGAAATCTGTATTTATTTACACGTAGAATCTTTTACGCCACTTTTGAACTTCCTTTTCTGCTGCAATTTCGATCTTAGTTCCCTTTTTAAGGAATAAGCTATTGTTTTTTTTTTTGACCCTTTACTTTATTGTGTCTTCCTCTCCCGTCTGTGAGCGCTGACGTGTGTTGCTCGCAATCCCACCGAAGCCCTTGACTCCGTGCTGGCTTTATCTCTGCAGGGTCTGTTTGTTGTAGGTGCGTCTAGACACTTGAGTGTTATCCTGGCTGCGGGGGGGTGGGTAATACCAGCCAGCTCTCTGCTATTTCTCTCCCTGCCTTCAAAACTCCTCGTCTTCCACTGTGCCTTTGTAACAATCCCTCTAAAAAAAAATGCGGTCGCTCAATCACCGACTGTTTGCGGGACAACAAAACACCCACAAAATACACAGTCAATACGCTTAACAGTATATTCTGTGAAGCGCTTAGAGGCGTCTGGAAGATGCGATAAGCGCTATATCAAACGTAAGAACTTACAAGGACTAAAGGCTGTGAAATAGTGGCTTGAGCCATGAGCTAAAGTTTCCCACAAGGTGAAGTTGGACTGTATATATTATTGCCAAATAACAAGTGGATTGTCCTGTCCAGATCAGTGTGTGTGTGTGTGCGCGCGTGTGTGTGTGCACTGATCTACTGGTGTTTTGTACGTAGCTCTGCCTCTCACTGTATAACAGCATGAAATGGACATTACAAATGTTATACAGTACATTTAGTTCTGGTTCCCTGGACAGAGACTGATTGTAGTTTTGTGCTCAAGTCGTCTCCTCTGTAAACCTCCAGTCACCAACCCTAAACCATTACTCCCATCTATCTACTTAACCCCGGGAGCCAGGCTGTGTCTGTTGACCCTTCTCCCCAACTAACTGCACTCTTCGCACTTCAAATGTGTGCGGTTGTCGAGTGGGCTTTAACGGGCCTTTTTGCCAATGTTTATTGGCTGTCTGGCCTGGGAGATTTTAGGTTGTGAAAGAGGATGTGAGTTGGGAGGTAAAAAGAAGATTCAAACAAGTAATTCACACTAAGCAATTAAGGGCACCTGTTAATAACCTTGCCAATAGCAAAGCGAGTGCACACACGCACACACAAGTCTAGAGAGGGAAAGAATCCCATCGAGCACAGTGGTTGAGGATATCAGCAATTGGGTTGAAATTACAGACGCACAGACACACACTGAAGGAATCTCTCTCTCTCTCTCCCTTTCTGTCAAGGACAGTCAGGTTCTCCAACTGAAAACTGGTACAGAAGCCAAAATGTCTCCCATCTGTCTCCAGCTGCCTGGAGCTCCTCTGTCTCTCTCTCTCTCTCTCTCCCTCCCGCTACGCTGTGTGCCCA